TTGCTGGTAGTTCTTCATGTCCTTGATCGCGTTTTCCTCCGTCCAGATGTATCGGCTAGCCTCGATGTCAGACTGTACTTCTGAGTTGGATCGACCAAATATGCGAGCCACGGTGAGGACTAGCGGCATGTCCTTGACGTCGGTGCTTGGAGGAACGACGATCTCAATGGTGTTGCCTTCGCCTTGAGCAGCGTCGAGAGACAAGTTCTGATCCCTAGTGAGTAGCTTGTTCTCCAAAGTATGCAATCGGCTCATCAACTCGGGCCTGTCTCTGTCGTGCCCCTGGTCTCGAAGAGTCTGCGCCACTAGCCTGATGAACATGGCCATATGTCTGTCCGCCGTTTCCTTCCACGAGTCGTCCGTCGCCGATGTTAGCTGGGCATACTTTTGGTTGGCCTTGGTCGCGGACGAGTAGAACATGAGAACGTAAGGCTCGAGCTTTCGGTCCTTCTCTACGGATTTTTGAAAGCCCTTCTCGGTGAATGCTGTGTATGCTTCGGCAAAGCTGCGCTTCAGAGCCGAGTCGTTGAAGCCTTGCATGGGCTCCTTCCCTGTCAGGACGTTCTTAAGTCTCTTCTCCAAGGGTTTCTGGAAGCCATGGGGCAGCTTAATGCTGTTGGAACCTGATGAGACGAATTGACCGACCAGTTCGGTGACGCTCGTGTGGGATCTCTGGGCTGGTTTCGGGGCGGAAACATATTGCTTTCGCTTCTGTCTCGGTTGGAGTATGTGGTTGAGGTATGCAATTCGCAATGCAAAAGTATAGGCATCGTCATGGCTGACGACGGTGATGTTGCCCCTGGATGCTCCCCTCGGTCTCATGCTTAGCCGGTTGCTAGTCACTCGACGGCCCGGCATCCACGAGCTCCTGGAAGCGGATGACATGATCGCTGATCGTAACGGGTCCGGAGATGCGTGGGGTCGAAAGTCGGACGTGGGCGATAACGGGGCACAATTTATGGCAGAGCTGTCATTCTCGTACCAGCGCAGAATGGCCAGCTAGGTGGTTTGTAGTGGTCGGCCGTAGACTTTGTTCGTAGACGTGACAGGTCGATCTGGGGTTCTCAGGAAGGTTCTAGCTGCGACAGCGGAGAAGTTGTCGTCGGTAGGTCGGGGGGTTTGGAGGAAATGAAGGTTGCGTCGAAATGTGGTGGCCGTCGAGAGTTGGATGGTGGTGTTGATCTGTCAAGGACCCAATGTCTAGCAAGCACGCTGCAGCCGCTTGGGGACCCTCAGAAGGTTTGGGGGTGAATGTTTGGTGCAGCAGGTGACACACGTCATTGGCAGAAAAGGAGATGCGGTGACTGCCGGGACCCCTTGTACTTTTCAGGAAAAGGTGGCACGGTGGTACCTGCGGCCCTGCGCGGCGCTAAGCGGCCCTGGTATGGACAGCACGAGGGACGGGAGGGAGGCTAAGTTGGCGAATAGTATACCTCTGGCAACATTTCATCGCTGATGAGGTACTTATCGCAGCAAGTAAAATAAGTGGTATTAGTTGGTGAACAGAGGTATTCTGATTTCATGAGTGCTGGGCGTATCGGGTATCGATGATGCCTGACCAGCGGAGACCCGTGGACGGGGCCGGACCACTGGTCACTGCAGTTCTGGCCTGACGATACGACACCTCAATCTAGAGAAATGCGAGTGAACAGATAATACCAACAACTGGCATGCAATGGGTCTTGGTGTTTTGTTCCAAGCTCTGGGTAAGATTTCTACCTTTGATTATGCTTTGCGACAGAGCTGGAGACGAAACTTCATCAAGACCTCTACCCAACAGATATTTGAAGAGATACACCACAAGAGAATAGTCACCAACTTTCAATGTTTCGTTTCTTTCGTCAGGCCGTGTAAGGCTCCCTTGAAAGAAGCTCTGAGGCGGTAGGCCCGCGTACGTGGGACCACACTCTGTACAAAGGGAGACATTCACGATACGAGATCTGTTGCCGCCATGCTTGGCTATTTCGCCTTCAATACGAAAACTTTCACCGTCTGGCATTAGTCTCGGATTCTCAGTCCGGCATCCTGCAGATCACCTTACTTTTCTACATGAATGAAGTCAAGCTTGAAACTATCAACACCAAAGGGAACTGCTCGCGTGTTGTGTCACCAGTGAAGGCAGCTTGTATTACGGACACGACCATTTCCAAAGGGCCAAACGGTATCAGCAAGTCACATGCTTCAGCGTAATGTGTCTTGGCCGCTTATATCGACCTTTTCTTCTTGTTCTTTCAATTTTCTTTCTTCTCCACTGCATCCTCCGAACGGTCCAAGGGTATTTCCACGGGCATTGTCCAGCGAATCAGTGGTCTGTCCGGACCAAAGATGGAGCGTCCAGGACGCGCATATCCGGTCCGTCATGCGCAGCTCATCATTTCCCGGTCCTTATCATATTCTGTATGATACTCCACGGGCACTCATTGAGCGTTTTCCTTGACCCAAGTCATAATGCCTTTCTCGGTCAAATGTCTTACCTCCTAGTCACCGGCAAAAGCTCTGTGGCCATATTCATTGGTAGGACCTATGCTGCGCAAAGGACTACACTGGCGTTCCAGCGGTCCGTTTGATTTGACACAGGTGCAATCGCAGTCTTATCATGATGAGGCCAAGAAGATCGACGATCCGTCCTGGCAGTCAAGCTGGCAGTGGCACTGAAAAGCCGTAGCTTCAGAATGCAGGGCAGACGGGGTCAAGAGCCCAAGGTAGAAGGCTCAAGTCGCTATGTTCTCTGTGCCCGATGCCCGATTATTCGTCCCAATTTTGTCCGAGGGATGTTCCTTGTCTGCCGCTGGGACGCTGGGGATTGCATGGTCCATTGTTTATCTCATACACACGGACGAGTCCGGCTACTAGAGCCGTAATAAGTCAGAAAGGCGAAATTACCCAATACAGCGCCAACAAGCCGGAGGTGACAGGCCTGTGTTGTAAAGTATTTGACATTTGGTGATGGCGTGCAAGACGTCACGTAAGTTGTGGGATCGTGTCCGTAGGAACAAAAAGCTGCTGACGGAGTGAACGGTGCCGCCGTCACAGTCGGAAGGAGTCCTGCTGGTAATAGGTATCAAGGCGCGTACGAGATGCTCTTAGCTTTGCACCGACTAAACAGCTACGCCGCGCAGGCCATGGCGGCCGGCGCCCGTTGATCGGTGACAGGCGCACTGCTTTCGTGAGAGAAAGTCTGAAACAGCTCTCCATCCTCTTTTACCTGAGAGTCTCGGAATCGGCTGGACTATGCTTGGCTCATAGCAAAGGTAGAGAGGCGGAGACGCTTCCCGGGACTTTGGTAGGCATGAGTACAGCATGCCGAACCCAAGACTGAACCCGACTGGCTAGGCGAATAGTTCGATCAAACGTAGAGACTTCGTTCGTGTAATTCGAGAGAGCTTGTTGCATCTAGTTCCTGGAGTGGAGGAGAGTGACGGCCGATTGACTTTCAAGGCTTTTCAGAGGACTGGGGAGCCAGTCTCCAAGGGCCCCTCACCAGCTACCCCTTTTCTTGATGCAATGCAGAGGCATAATTCGCAACTTGCAGGCGGTGTCGTCGCAAGTTGACGAGTTGAATCCCGACTCTCTGGAATCTTGGATAAAGAAACGAGCGAAAGCGCCATAATCAAGCGAACAGTTTGCAAGAGCCGCTTTGTCGACGTGATGAATAGAATCCTTGGCCAGCGACCAACAGACAGGGCCATGTCTCCACGTTGAAGAAACTTGGGGGACGGAGACATGGCTGCCGAGAGGGTGTTCAAGATCTCGCGGCTTGCCGGGCTTTGCTTCGCTTCCCCAAGTTGGGAATCTGGGAGGGGTAAACACCTAGGCCCCTAGAGTGGAGAGGATGGGGAGGCACGAAAAGGAACGGCGGTACTGCGCGCCCAGTCAGCTTGTTGCTTGTTCGTGCTTGTCATGAAGACTTGGTAATTAGTGCCAAGGTGCCTTGCTACGGCCCAACAATGTGTGAGATGGGCAGGACCAGGTGGTGTGGTGATCCCATGCGCTTTGGTCAACTGTCGAAGATCTTGAACTGATGACCCCACCATAGACGTCTAAAAAAGTGAAAGAGGCCGCCGTTGTGCCTGGAATGAAGGAGAGACGTGGGTGCTGTTCAGTGCCCCAAAGAGGACCTAGGAGAACACATGAAACCCGGAGGTGAGATGGTGGATGGCTGGCGGTGATGGTGTTAGTGTTGTTGGTGGTGGTGCTGTTTTTGTAGTTGACAAGGCTTTGGAAGGTTTGGTGTCCGTTGGTGGTGAAGTGAGGTAGACCCTCGCGTTCCTGAATGCCATAGAGGTGATGCCGAGGGGGTAAAGCTCTTTGTGTGATAGATATTAGTATCGTTGATGCAGCCCGGCGCTTGGTATTCCATTGGAAAGGCTAGACGAGGAGAGTTCCACGGGTGGATAATCATGGGAATTTGAGGCCGGCGGGCAGGGGTCGGGATAAAAGTGAAATCGGCGCCAATCTCGTCTTCGCCAACCCTGGCGCCTGAAGACCAAGTGGGCTTGATTCAACGTCACAACGGGGGAAGGCACTTGGGGATTGAGGTGAGGTGCACCTGCCCAGCCAGCGCACTATGTACCTAATTGCGCATCGCAGCTTTCCAGTGGCAGCGGCGGCGCGTAGTGTACCTTGCCCTTCGTGCTTCCCAGTCCAATTCAGACGAGGTGGCATGGTACCTTACCTTACTCCAGACCACCAGCCAGAGTGACAAGCCCAGCCTAGCCAAGTCCAGCCCACATGCATCGTGTACATGTACCTGACTGGCGTGTGAAATCCCCGCGGCGACACAAGTATCTTGAACCGAATGCGGGCCTTGACGACACTTTCAAGGAGGGGAGGGGGGGGGGGGCACTGGGGGGCACATCAGCGGCAGCAGGCAAGCACCTCAGCAATAGCAACACAGTGACAGCGACCGACAAGCAACAAGCCTCTGAGGCAGACGTGCCGCAGCCCAGCAGCAGGTGGTTCTCCGTCGACATCGGATCGCAACATTCAACCTTTTGCATTTCCATGACTCTCTTATTCATTTCCCCCCGTCCATTCTACTCTACAACAACTACCACTACATCTCTGGTATTTTACCTTTCATTCCTGTTCCCCCCTCAAATACTCCCGCCCTCGACGCCGCCGTTGCCTGCCGTTATCCCCGCAGCTTTTACTTTAACCCCTTCGCTCAGGCCCTCGTCGCCTCCCGCAGCCGCAGCGTCTCGAACCTGGCTGTTCAGTCCACGCTTCCGTACCGCCTGCCCGTGGCTGTGGCTTGGCCTCTTTTTGTGTCGCCAAATGTTCACGATCCTGGCTAACTTGCGACCCCGCGCTGCAAAGCCCGCCGACCACCGAAGAGGCACTCCCTCTGCCTCTGCCTCGCCTCCGAAGTTCTACATCTTCATGCGCCGTTAATTCCAACTTCAACATCTCATCATGGGCATCGTTAGCAGCAAGCCCGATGACGGGGCTACCCTCTATCTTAGAGACCAGAATCGACGTGCGACCTCCCGCCCTCTGCTCCCTCTGTTCTGCTTGCCCTCTGCCTTACCTGTTCATGCATGCAGCCTTGCGCATCCGCTTGCTAACTCTGCGTTGCAGTATCCATATCTTCTCTCGTCATCTCCAACCCGCGAAGGCGCTCTTCCGTAAACATCGTTCCCAATGCATTCCCCGCCACCAGAGTCTCGGCTTCTCGTCCACTAGGCGACGGCAGTCCTATAGAATTCGTTCAGGTTCGTATGCGCAAAGGACAGCACCGCGCTTCCTCTGCTCTTTCTACTTCCTAGTGGCATGCGCTGACCATCGTATCTGCAGGACACCGAAGTCGTAACAAGTCCCGGCGGCGTCCCAAATTTCATACTAAAGCTCAACCAAGACGATGAGCTAGTCTTCACCTTTACCTTCGTTATACGTCAAGGCCAACAGTTTGTCACCAACGGCGGCGCTGACACTGTAGCAACGACCGACACTCAAATCAGCGGACTGACCTACGTCTATGCCTCTACACCCCGCGAAGTAGAGAACTTGGTGACTCGCGAGTTCCACGCAGACCCGAATCTACACAAGAATTCCAACGTTGAGTTGGTAGGCGACTTTGCGACTGGAGGTACTCCCTCCGTCTCTTTTGAATGGACCTGGAAATGGAAACCTCCAAAGAGCATTGAAGACAGGGGAGGTGGATGGAGGAATTCCTGCAGCGTATGCTCACTACAGACCATGGGCATGGAGCATTGCTGATCCCGTCATAGTTCGTCGAATACGACCCTCGCGCTCACTGCCTGCACACTCTGGCCAGTTTCTCATACTGGGTGTCGAGTAAGGCTTCGCTCGTCCTTCTTACCCGCGGCCCGCAGCTGACTTCTTCCAGACCCAGTCTTGCCGCTCAGCCACCCAAACTCGCCATCCCCTCCTTTCCTACTAACCGCCCCTCCCAAGATCCGTGTCGCCTCGTCCCAGTCTGTGGATTCTCGGATCAGTCATGCCGAGTTAGACGAGCCCTTGTCACCGTTGCCAGGCAATACATCATCGACCACCATCCTCCCTGTGCCACAATCTGCATCGGAGCCGATCAAAGTAGACGTCGCATGCCCGAAACCAACCGACGATGTTCTTGTACCAGACGATGGACCTGTCTTCAGGGCGACGATTAAATCGTTGGAGCAAAAGACTGGCAACATGCGGACGCAGATGAAGCGCGTGCTCAAGATGGCCAAACAAGCGCACGAAGCACAGCAGGAGGCCAACAAGAACTTCTCCGAGTTCATCGATACTCTTCGGGAAGCCTCTTCGACAAACGCCAATGCTGTCCAGCCAGCCATTGAACACTACTTTGACAAGATTGCCCGGGAGATTCTCGCCTATGAGCGGACAAATACTGTCAACCTCAAGAGGATTGTGATCGATCCTTTGGACAAATTCTATACAGTGGACATCAAGCAAGCCGAGTCCAAGAAACGTGACTTTGAGGAGGAAAGCAAGGATTACTATGCTTACGTTTCAAGATATCTCGGACAGCGTCACGATTCTGTCAAGGCTAAGAAACTGGCAGAGAGTGATTCAAAGTACCAGACCAAGCGTCGCAACTTCGAGCTCAAACGTTTCGACTATTCCAGTTTCATGCAAGACTTGCATGGCGGCCGCAAAGAACAGGAAGTTCTGTCCCACCTCACGCGATACGCCGATGCTCAAACGAAGAGCTTCCTCGAGGCGGCGAAAAAGATCGATACCCTTCTACCCCAGTTGGAGGCACTTTCAAGCGAAGTACAAGAGGCCGATAAGGAATATCAGTACCAAAGGCGGGAGCGTGAAGAGAAGAGACGACTACTCGAGAAAAGTAACCAGCCGTACAATGAGCCCGATCCCATCCCTGTACCCGGTACGAGCAGTGGCCCGGTTGCGAGCTCAAATGGAAATGCGTATGTTTCCGACAGTGATCTAGGCCGTGCCGACAGTACGGGATCGCAGTTGAAGGTGGCAATGTCTTCGGGTTCGAATCCTTCCCTTTCAATGGCTTCTCCTGAGCTATCTCGGTCCCCGGGCAGTCTTGGCAATTCCTCTGTTGGAAGTCCTGCTCAAGCCTCAAAGTTCAAAGGAATCCGTGATTTGGAGGAGAAAGACTATGGCCAGTCGTCAGGCGCCAGCAGCACACAGCGTAAAGAAGGCCTGCTATGGTCCCTTAGTAAGGGCGGAAGCAATCATGTTGACCCGCGCAACCTGAACAAACAGGGTTGGCACAAGTAAGTTCACCTGGGAACCCCCAAAGCGTTTTGCATCCTAACAAACCGCAGGTTCTGGATTGTTCTCGATCAGGGCAAGCTCTCGGAGTATAGCAACTGGAAACAGAGGCTTGATTTGCACAATGATCCAATCGACTTGAGAATGGCATCTGTTCGAGAAGCACGGAATGCTGAGCGTCGATTCTGTTTCGAGGTCATTACGCCTCAGTTCAAACGAGTCTACCAAGCAACATCGGAAGAAGATATGAACAGTTGGATAACGTCTATCAACAATGCGTTGCAAAGTGCGGTCGAAGGTCGCATCATGAGAGACAAGTCGGCGCCGAGCGATTCAGGATACATCAAGAGAGACATTGGCTCGATCCTCACCGGCAAGAGCCCCTCTGTTGGCCACAATAGCCACCACAGTCACACAAATTCAAATAGCGCACCCGTACGCCGAATTACTGTAGGCGCTCGGCCCAGCACGCATCGATCAACCAGCTCGAGTTTCGACGAGAATCCTGACAAGCTGCTTCAATTGCTTCGCGACAACGACCAAGGAAATTGCTGGTGCGCTGATTGCGGGTCGGGTACGAAAGTCGAATGGGTTTCAATCAATTTGGCCATTATTCTATGCATTGAATGTAGTGGCATTCATCGTTCCCTCGGCACGCACATCAGCAAAGTGCGATCTCTCACCTTGGACATCAATTCCTTCACCTCTGATATTGTCGAGCTGTTACTCCTTGTTGGAAATAGAGTGTCCAATATGATTTGGGAAGCGAAGCTCGAGCCTGGCTTCAAGCCGACACCACAGGCAACCCGAGAGATGCGGTTGCGGTTCATCACGGCAAAGTACGTGGATAGGGCATACGTTGAGCCGATCTCAGCCACGCTTTCGCGTTATCCAAACCCCGACGACACCTTGCTGGCAGCCATCAAGAAGAATGAGATCCAGCAGGTGATCTACGCACTGGCTCTGAGGGCAAGTCCCAATGTCACGGACAGGTCTCGAGGAACCCACGCAGTCTTTCTGGCGCTGGCGGCCGCCGATCCTGCGTCACCTTCTCCCACTCCCGGGCAGCCCCCGGAGACGGACAGATCAGTGCCATTCCCAGTTGCAGAGATGCTGCTTCAAAACGGCGCAGAAGTTCCGTTGACAATGCCGGCCTTCCCCCTCAGCCGGAGTGCGCAATTGTATATTGAAGAGAAACGAGGACGCAGCACGGGATTTTCACACGACAGCGTCGGGTCATTACCCGGCAACCTGAGTCCCAACGAAAAGCTGCAGCGGGAGAGAGATGCCCGTTTACAGAAGAGAGTAAGCGCGGGAGGACGTCTGGCCAAGAGCCCGATTCCGGAAAGGTAGCGACCTACCTGTCTCGAGCGGCTGGGACAACTCAACATGTGCCTTGCCTTTGCGCTGCATGCGAGGCATAGATCTTCTCTTGAAGTTCACTTATCGACAGACGATTATGATGACTCTGGGGGTGACGATGGATGAAACCATGTTGGCACCGGCAAGAAGACGAAGAGGAAATGGCTGGCATGCTTTGATACTGTCATTACGAGAAGCCATTTTGCTTTTGAAGGATCTGGTGGTCCTTTTTTTTTCCCTACCGGGCGAGAGAGGCTATCTGTTTTCATTGCCGGACATGAGGAGCCCAAAATCACGGGACCATGTTGTCACATATAGCATGTGTACAGAGTGCTCTTTTCCATGGCAGACGCCAGCGCAGGGCCGATCAGGTACACACCATTGTAGTAGTCCTCGATTGGAGAAGGCCAAGGGTTGGAGAGTGCAGAGACGGCCGTTGTGCGTGCGTGCTTGTCAGTGTGTGTATGGATAGTAATAGTAATGAAATGATGAATACAAAGTAAGATAGTAACATTTTATTTCGGCTGTATCGTATGCCAAAGAGCGAGTGAATGAGGCGAATGAGGCAAAATTCTTGTTGCCACTGGCAGTCAGACAGAAAAGGAGAAAAAAGAGAAGGAAAATCGTAAATGAGTCGTTTGGTGGCAGGTGAAGCACTCACGTGTGGGTTAGACGGTGAAATGAATCACACCTACGATCCGTAATATACTTAGCCACAGCAAGCGACGGGACGCATACCAATTCTCACAGAGTGACCTAAAGGACTGGGTGGAAGGGGTGGGGGGAACGTCACTTTTAGATGCTGGGAAGGGCACATGATGGGGATGTCTCAATTTGGAGACTCGAGACTCGAGGCGGAGAGGATGGACGGGTGTCTGCGTCAAGCTTGTTCGCCATACCCGCTGTCAAGACCCAGGTCCGACAGGGCGCGGTGAGTCCATGACCATAGTATGGGAAATCTCGATCGTGAATAGTAAGGAAAGCAACCTTCGGGGCAGTAGCGGCTATTTGATTCATGAACACCTTAGCTACCTTACCTTACCTTCATCATCTGGTCGTGGTTGAGTGGGCCCCCCCTCATAGGCGAACATCGCGATAGTGTGCAGGTGAGGTTTGCAGAGGGAAGAAGAACGGCTCACATGAGACCTGGTTCTTTCCGCCACATGGTTCATGTTGGAGGCGGAGGCGGGAGGGAAGTGGGAGAAGAGCTATTATCAGTCTCACGCGGGCGCGGTTCTTGCCCCCATTCCATGGGGTTGGCGGCATTCATATGGAAGGGGATAGGAGTCATTTCCCATTTCCAGAAAATAGAATTTTGGGATGTTTTGCCGTTCAATCTCATCCATCATCGCTGCCCTCGTATCACTCATCGTTGCGGAAGCACCATTGCATTGCGATCGTCTTTTCAACTCTGCGCGACCGAGTATATAACGACTTCTACCTTGCCTTGAGGTATCTTAGGTACCTTACACCATCTCTCTACCTTATCTATCGTATCTGTGCACGTATCTGCCAGATCTGCATACGACCTGCGTCAGTCGAAAAAAAAAAAAAAACGAAAAGGAAAGAAAAAAGAACTGAGCAGGGAAAGCGGCTTTGGGTTACCTCATTTGAGAGAGCACGAGAAGAAGAGCTCGCAGGAAACAGCCGATGACTGCATGTCTAGGCTGCAGCGCACCCAACTGCTGAACCACTGCAGTCATTCGATCCTCGAGGACCCACTTGCTCTGGCACGGTCCTCGATCCGAGAAAACCAAGGGAAGGAAGGCCCTGTCGACAGTCAACCAACCTCCACTGCCCTGCCTGCCTCCAGCAAGCAGTCCAGCTGTGTCAGTGTGAGGTGAGGTGACTCTGGGGCGGTGTTCACAGTTCAGCCCAGTTACCTTCCGGGTGACGGATCCAGCAAGCCCCAGCCAGCCCTGCCCAGCCCAGCGGACGGGACCCTCCCCAACCTAGGACCAGGACACAGGATACAGGACAGCCGTGGACACGACAAGCAGGACCACCACCTCACCACCACCTCACCAGCACCGGGACACAGGGACAACCTGACGGGACCCGGCAGCTTGCACAAGGCCATTGCCAGGGGCGTTTGGTTGGTTCTTCCACTTTTTTGGTCTGGCTTGGCCGTAGCTTGAGCACCACTGCACTTGCACTTGCACCTGCACCAAGCTACCACCTCCCTCTCCCCCTCTCCACTTTGGGGGAACTGACTTCCCGGATCGTCCAATACGCAGGCCGCAGTGCGCAGTAGCTCCTCCATTTTCCAGGCTGCACTCCACGCTCACTCCTCGGGGCTTGCCTTTCCAGGCTTTACTGAGCAGCTGGTTTATTAATGCGAAGAGCCTCGCCATCCATCACATCTCTCCCTTAGGCAACACTTCCAACATCCAATCTTCCCATCCCCAATCCGTTACAACTTTCACAATCACCCACGTAACACCTTATCCTCAGAACTTTTGTCTGCACAAATCATTTTGGCCCTACAGAGGTTTCCCGTACGTACTAGCTTTGCCATAACCAGAGATCGACACATACCTGGTACCTATTAATTCACCGACGACGTAACCATTCCTTACCTCACCTTGCTTTACCCGCCTGCTGCCTCCGAGAATCCCACTTGCGAGCGAATCCCCCAAGACTCGTAACACTACCAACCGAGGCCATGGCTCCTCCTCAACCCGAAAAGAGCCAATTGAAACGAACTAGAGTAAGTCGTCTACTGATGTGCCCGGCCTTCTGGTGTGCAATCCTAAATCGTCTTTCCCTTCCAAAGGGTTCTCTGCCAGAAACCGAACTGGATGCGAAGAAGCCCCGCCGCTCCGACAGGCAATCACCGGAACCCGAGCACAAGACGCCAGTCTCTAAGAAGCACCAGCTTCCCTCCCCAGTCACAAGGTCCGGCGACTCGGATGAGGTCTACAAGGAGCCCACCGCCACACCCCCGGAAGGACGTCCCAGCCAGGTGAACCACCGCGATAAGGACGACGCGTCGCAAGCCGTTAATAACATCTCCTCACCGCCGCAGGAGGCGACCCAGGCTTTCTCGCAGTATGCCCACGAGACCAAGGAGGCCCTCTCGGACGAGGTCGAGGATGAGGTGAAGGAGGGCGTATGGGGATACTTGTTCCCTCTCGATACCAAATATGGCAAAGTTGTCGTCATGAAGAGGCGAGCTGCTTGCCCTTTGCCTGACGCTGTCGAGGCGAAAGAGTCATCGAATAAGGATCAGAATGGAAAGTCGTCCCTGCAGAAGGAAGAAGAGGCGTACGAGCGCACAAAGGTCAAGGGCGTCGCATCGGGCGGGTACTTGATTGGCCGTCATCCAGAGTGCGGTAAGCCTGTCGTCCATCTCCGGGCGTAGCCGTGGTGGTGCTGACAACTCGCAGACATCGTCGTGGACGATCCCATCATTTCCAACAGGCATTGCTTAATCTTCACCGAAAACAAGGGCGGCGACACTGTTGCGATTCTGGAGGATTTGTCTAGTAACGGAACTTTCGTCAACGAAGCAATCGTAGGACGCAACAAGCGGAGAGAGCTCCAGGAGCAAGACGAAATCGCTGTTATTGACAAGGCTCGTTTCATCTTCCGGTACCCCAAGAGTCGGCAATCTAGTGCATTTCTGAGTCAGTACACTCTCCTCGAGAAGTTGGGCAAGGGTCACTTTGCCGAGGTGTTTTTGTGTGTCGAGAAGTCTACCGGCCAACGGTACGCCGTCAAGATCTTCACCAAAACGCCCGGCATGGAGGAGAGATCCAAGCAGGAGGGCTTGCAGCAGGAGATTGCTGTTCTCATGGGCGTCAGCCATCCCAACGTTCTCTGCTTGAAGGACACGTTCAATGAACGTAATGCCGTTTATCTGGTCCTCGAGCTGGCTCCTGAAGGCGAGCTGTTCAACTTCATTGTGATGAGGCAGAAAGTGAGCGAGGATGAGACGCGTAAGCTCTTCAAGCAGCTGTTCCAGGGCATCAAATATCTTGTGAGTTTCATATCATGGCAATTCTGAGTCAAGCGCTGACGAGTGGCAGCACGATCGCAACATTGTTCACAGAGATATCAAACCTGAGAACATCTTGATGGTCGACAAGGAACTCAATGTCAAGCTGGCTGATTTCGGCTTGGCAAAGATTATTGGTGAAGAGTCCTTCACGACCACATTGTGCGGCACGCCCAGTTACGTGGCCCCAGAGATTCTCGCCGAGGGCAGGCACAGAAAGTACACGAAAGCTGTAGACATTTGGTCGCTGGGTGTCGTGCTGTACATCTGCTTGTGTGGTTTCCCGCCCTTCTCGGATGAGCTCTATTCTAAGGAATTCCCCTACACGTTGTCGCAGCAGATCAAAAGCGGTAGATTTGACTACCCGTCACCGTACTGGGATTCTGTTGGCGACCCTGCTCGTAAGTGGTTTGAAAGTCCGTTTTTTTTGTACAGAGACTGATTCCTCAAACTAGTTGACCTGATTGATTCTATGCTTGTCGTCGACCCCGAACGTCGGTTCACTGTGGACCAGTGTCTCAACCATCCCTGGATGACTCAGAATCAGCCTGGTGTCAATGACAGCACTGATGGTCTTGTTGGCGGCATTCAGGGCTTGGGCGTCCAGCGACGGGGCGTGACCAGAGAACGTACTCTCTTGAGCTCATTGAACTCAGTCCAGGTGGCAACCAGAGCGCCTGTAGGAGACAGCAAGAAGCCCGTCAATATTTATGCTAAGAACACGAAGAAGATCCAGCCGAAGGAGGCTGATCCCCACTCGCAGAGAGCTGTGGGCGAGTTTGTGGAGATGGGGGGCAAGGGCGACGAGGCGCTCTTTGGGGCCGATGGAGAGAGCATTTACTCAAAGAACGACATTGCTAGCGCCGAGAAGAATGGTGGGAAGTGATGTTATGTAATATTTCTTATGGGTTCGTTCTTTGGGAGCATGGATTATGAGATGTGTCTGTGGACAGCATCGGCGATGTTTTGGGTTCTTGGCTTTCATGGTGCCATGCAGGCATATACTATGTTTGCGACACCACCGGCCATTGTTTTCAGTAGTGTCACGGGCTTGGAGACAAGGGTTGTGCAGTAAAGCATTGGACGACCTATACAGATACGCAGGCACGGATGGGCAAAAGTTTGGAGTTTCACGCTGTTTTTGATCGAAACAACGGCCCAATATAATAATAAGCTTGAACAACATGCAAAACTCGTTTGTCAAGATACGTTCGGTCGATGACATATGCGGTAGGTTGACCAGCTCCCACCATTTGCAGGGGAGGTAGGTACCTTAGATTGGTAAGTTGTATATCGGTCAAGGAGCCAAGGACTCAGCAATATTACCCACCGATGTATCGGCCCCGGGAGGATACAAGGCGGCCAGGCTGCTGCGGGTCACACCGGCGGTCCAGATGGACGGGGTGGGGCCGAACCAACGACATGTCTTCATTGGGTCCTCAACTCTTTTCCTGCCATGTGTGTTTCTTTTCTACTTTCCAAGCAAGATCGAAATGTTGTTTCCAAAATATCCCGCTTGAAAATATCAGTGTCTCGATTTTTATGCGAATTATAGCATGCCATAGTGATCGGTTTGATGAAGATACGTATTTGGTGTAACGCCCGACGTTGAACGCTGGCACCCCGCTTTATTCACCGCCTTCGCCTAGGGCCCCATTTGCGGTTTTTCGCACAACTGCGAAAGTGGCAGAAAAAATTGCTTACCACCACCCCTCCATCAACGACGACGCAGAACGAGTCGGCCTTCGCAAATCGAAGCAGTTGGACTCACCGCACGACAGACCGACCCCCTGTCTCCGTTTTCTCAAACGACACGCCCCCTCTCTCTGTCTTTCTCACACTTTCGGCCGTCTGGTTTTTCCCGGGTTTAGAACCTCCTCTTTTTGGTTTTTCTCTCCAACCCCCCGATCAACCGCATAAACCACCGACCTCGAAACCCACCCACCCCCTCTCTTCGTCGTCGACCCTCCCAAAAATCCCGAACACCACATCGGAAACAATCATGGCGGCGGGAGCGAAGCAACAACAGGCGCAGCCGCAGCTGCTGTTCGTCGATGGTTCCTTCCAGGAGCTGGCCCGCGAGATGGCCGAGTACCTCCACATCGCCGACGAGATCAAGCCCCTTGTCGAGAACGAGGCCAAGAAGGAGGAGGTCCTGAGCAAGCTGGTGGCCAAGTCGGCGGCGCTGTCTTCGGTGCCCGAGAAGGAGTTCACGGCCGCCTCGAACCTGATGGTCCACCTCGTCCTGCAGTCCGAGGAGCCCAAGAAGCACCTGCCCGCCCTGTGCAGCGCCTTCAGCAAGCCCATCGCCTCGAGCCCCGTCAACGGCGTCGGCCTGAGCCTCAACGCCCTCAGCACCGTCTTCAACCTCATCGCGCCCGAGAACCCGATCCGCTTCAACGTCTTCATGGCCATCCTGCGCTTCCTCAAGTCGCACGCCATGTACGATGCCGTTCAGCCCTACCTGAAGCACCTCCCCAGCTGGTTCGAGGAGTGGGCCACCGGCGAGGAGTTCCAGAGACAGATGTACGAGGAGATTGCCGAGGTTGCCAAGGAGGCTGGCAAGGAAGAGTGAGTTTTTTTTAAACGATATCCCGAGACTGTTTGGATGAGAACATCAGATTTGCTGACAGCATGTGCCCCACTTCAATAGGGAGAGCTACGAGTACATTCTCAAGGCCCTGCGCACCTTTGACGCCGACGACAAGGAGGAGATTGGCTCCGAGGACGCCCAGAGACTATCCCTCCGCGCGGTCCGCGACGCCCTCCTGTCTAACACACACTACCTCTTCACGGACATCCGCAGCATACCCTCGGTCCAGAACCTCTCCGAAACCCACCCCATCTACTCCCAGCTCCTCGACGTCTTCGCCGAGCAGGACCTCGAGGACTACAACGACTTCAACGACGAGCACTCTGGCTTCGTCGAGAAGGAGGACCTCGACCACGACAAGCTCCACCGCAAGATCCGCCTCCTCACCTTCGCCTCCCTCGCCGCCCAGACGACCTCGCGCCGCATCGAGTACGCCGCCGTCGCAAAGGCCCTCCAGGTCCCCGCCGAGGAGGTCGAGATGTGGGCCATTGACGTGATCCGCGCCGGCCTCGTCGAGGGCAAGCTCTCCCAGCAGGACCAGGTCTTCCTCGTCCACAAGGTCACCTACCGCGTCTTCGGCACGCGGCAATGGCAGGAGCTCGCCACCCGCCTCGACTCGTGGAAGGGCACGTTCACGAACCTGCACGACGTCATCCGCAAGGAGCAGGCCAACGCCAAGGCGCAGAAGGAGCGCGAGGCGCAGGAGGCGGAGCGCAAGCAGCAGGGCGGCGGCGAGGGCGGTCGCGAGGGCGGCCGTCAGCAGAGGGGCCAGGGACGTCGCGACAACAACCAGCAGCGCGAGCCCAGAGAGCCCAGGGAACCCCGTGAGCCTAGGGAGCCCAGAGAGCCGCGCGAGCCCAAGGAGCGGACGGAGGATGATGATTAAGGGAGAGGCATGAATCTTGGTCTGTTGATGAGGAAACTTGCCTTTTGCTTAGTTTGGCCTTTTCGCCCCCTCCTATGTACGGCTTTGAAGGATCCCCCCTTCCCTTCATGCACGACTTGCGGGTTATCAAAATAAGATGAGGAAGCAAGAACCGTATTTTTGCGGCAAAAGAGGACACGAAAAAGCATGAGGGGAATCTAGGAAGAGAGGAAGAAGCTCCGTTCGTGTTTTTATGTAATTACGGCGGGGAGAGGAAAAAGAACAAAGGGGGGACGGGGACTTTCACGGGCCGCGCGAGGAACTTCTATACCTTTAGAGCTTTTGAGGGTCTTCGCGTGGGAAATATGGCGGGCTTGCTGCATTGCGGGAAGAAAGAAAAAGCAAATGGCCTTTTTTCTTTTATTTACTTGTTTAGGGAGTCCCCCGAATGAATCCGGCGTAACGAAGAGATTTACGATACAGATGCCTTTTCTTCTCCCCCTCTTTGCCTTGACTTGGCCTTGCTATTTGATTTTCGGGTGAACTATGATAGACTAATAGCCAGCTACATGCAAAGTTCGGGATGCATCTAAGACAAACCATATAGGCATATCATCCAGGTATGTCATGGAAGCATGTCATAGGATCATCACGAGGCGAGGGTCAGAGAGCTTGGGTCGGCATTTCATATTGAATACTTCTGTTTTTTTTTTATGAGGATTCGGATTGAAGAAACTCGATAGTACATGTCTAGATATACAATAGACAAACAACAAAAGAGAAAAAGGAATCTTTTTTTCGACTCCGGAACTTCTTATACAAGCACACACACACATGGCGAAAGGCCCTTCTTCTAGGAGTCTATGCCAAAATCGAGCTGACCCTTCTCTACCGCTTCCCTCTCTAGCATTGAATTTGTTTTGCCCTTTTTTCCTCATCCCCAAGTCTGATGTTCACTTTCAGCCATGCGGCATGGAAAAAGACTGGGGTCTCCCACCATGGCCAAGGCGTGAGCGAACCTAGGAGAAACGCAGGCCAAACTGTTTAACCAGCATAGGTGCGCGTAGTCCCCCCGCCATTCGATCTAAGCTGCAACCCGCAACTCTGTCGCAGAGCACCGAAATCGATTTCTCCTCAGCCCCCAAAACTCAGATGCCCAAGCGCTTGGAGAGCTCGGAGCGCGTCTTGCTGTACACATCCTGCGGCGAAGGCGTAGCATCGAGCTTGACGACGCGGCCCTCCTTTTCAAAGTAGTCCACGACGGGCATGCTCGTCTCGACAAAGGTGCGGAAGCGCTTGCGGATGCTCTCGGCGTTATCGTCAGCGCGACCGCTCGTCTTGCCGCGCTCGAGCAGGCGGCTCTCCATGACGTCCTCGGGGCAGTCGTAGAACAAGACGAGCTTGGCGGGGCAGACGGCCTCCTCGAACTTGACGGCCTGGTCCATCTTGCGGGGGAAGCCGTCGATGAGGAAGCGGGCCTTGCTGCCCGGGTTGTTCTTGATCGTCTCCGTCATGGCGTTCTCAAGCAGCTGGACGGTGACTTCCATGGGCACGATGAGGCCGTCCTTGATGTAGTCCTTGATGAGCTGGCCGAACTGGGACCCGGGGCGGTCTTGCTCAGCGCGGAGGAGGTCGCCGGCCGAGAGGTGGGTGAAGCCGTAGTCGGAGACGAGGCGGGCGCACTGGGTTCCCTTGCCGGCGCCGGGGCCGCCGAGGACGAAAAGGACGGTCACGTCGGCGGGGGAGAAGGTCGGGGTCGACTTTGTTGGGGCGGGGAGACCTTGCTTTGCCTCGGGGGCGGGGAGGGAGGCCATTTCTGTGGGTGTTTTTGTCAGTCGAGTCTCTGTCTCGTGGTTGCACAGCTTGGTTAAGCTACTGAAAGAATTGGAACATCGTTTCTGTGCTCCTCATATGGACGAGAGCGACTAGATGTTGTCGGGGGCCCCAAAAAGCTGCTTTGGGGGGTATCAGGGTTAGACAAAGATAGCTTACCTGCTCTTTGATCGACGAGGAGCTTGTAAGCAAAGCTACCGGCACCGACAACAACGAGGAAGGGCCAGAACTTGACGCCCGAGGATTTCTTAGGGGGTTCAGAGGAGTAGAAGCGATGCGCCGGGAGTCGCTGTTGAAGACGAAGAGAAGAGCGAGAAGTGGAAGTGAGGATATTAGAAGAGCGGATTGGGGAAGAAGAAGCTCGGGAGAGCAGACGGGGCGCAAAGGAGTGCATGATGACGGGGGCTATAAGATGGCGAGGTAGGCGCGGGTTTGGCGGGCGGCAAGCGGCTAGTTCGGGAGGGGTGGGAATGAATAAGGTACCTATGAAGGTTTGTCAATGCAAAGTGACGAGGGCTGCGGCTACACCAAGGACAACGAGAGAGAGGGAAAAAGAGTGACAACGTGTGGTGGTGGTTGGTGGATGGTGGTTTCGAAACCTGTCCTGCGTTCACGCACTGCTGCTAGGGTCAGCTAAGGTAGGGAAGTGTTGGCGTGGCATTATTTTGGACGGTCCCGTCACCTCCTGAGAGTGGGGCAGATTTGGGGGCAATTGGGGATTGGGATTGGTATTCTTGGCATCTGGGCTTCCAGACCGCCCGACCTCACGACCCCTGACCACCCTGACGTATGTCCACTTAGCAACAGTACTGGGATTCTGGCGCTGTCACGTGGAAATATCGTTGAACATCGTTGAGATAAGCTTTCGTCCGTTCGTTGAAGTCGTCTTATTCTTACATATCTTCGGTAGCCAAGGGACGTCTGTTCTTCCCGTGCGCTTCTTCCGTCGCTGGGACCAATCGCTGACGTCTACTTCCTACACGGCGAAGATGCTGCGTCCGGTAGACTGAGTCTCTGAACTTATTTGAAGATTAAGATGTCTTCTCGCCTTTCCTGTCCCTCCACGGGAGCTTGCCAAAGGTACAGCCATTCATCAGACCGTCTCACTTGGCTACATTTCATGCTTTGGCTCATTCATGGGACTTTGTTTCACTCATGCCACGTAAACAATTCTTGCTTGAATATATCACAGTCGTTAATCACAAGGAGCTATCAGACGAGGGTTCCCTGATCACATGGTCGAGCGAGGAAATTAGTCATGCCGCATAAGTTTGCCATGAGTCTGGCTTGGTGGTCATCCCAGCTCCGGGGTCATCTCGTGACGGAGGCCCAGCCCGTAGGATCCGATCACAGCTTTGCCGACACAAGCGCGGACTCGGGTGGATAAAAGTCGCGGGCGGCAAATTTCACCGGCGTGACTTAGATTGTGAGCGAAAATCCGACAACAAACGTTTATACCGCGTCGTGCCTGCGAGGCCTCCATCGGCATAATTGACAACAAATGTGAGTGCTTGGCTGTCTCATGCTCGTCATGCTGGCTTGAGTTTGCCGGGCTTCAGAATGCTACAGCGCAGCCCAATATGTGATGCCGGTCATGCAAAGCTCGAGTAAGTCGATATCTTACGCGGCTGCAAAAGCAGTCCGGCGGAACGATGTTGGCTCGAACCCGCGACCTTTGTACGGAAAAAAAAAAACAAGCTATCCATGGCATTATGTAGGACCGTGAGCCAACATATGTTCTTTGCCAGAATCATACCGCTCGGCCATCGACTACAACGGACGGTGCTTGTTGACAGCTCAACCGTCTTTGGCGCCTATAATGAGGGCGGCAGACATCAGATGAGAGTCCATCAAGGTGCGTAGTGTACAGTGAGGGAGAAGGTGAGGTCACCTACCCGAAGCGAAAACTTGCAGGGGCCAGATCGTATTCATGTGTGAATGTTGACCTTGTGTTACTCGCCTCTGTACGCCAGTATACCATACAATCTAGGTGAAATGATATGACATTTGGCCAAGTTACGTGGAATATCAATGCTTCAACAACTCGTATTGTTATGCACTGGACATTATGATGAATGACTCTTCGGGAGGTATAAGGCAAGCCCTTAGCACTACGTGTCACAACATATTGACTCAAGAGCGGATCTTCGTGTACCTAGCCTACTTACTCAAGCTGTGGTGAAGCTTATTATTGATAAGAGGGAATGATAGTGTCCCAAGTATTGGACACGTGCTTTGTAAGAAATTGCAGACCGAAAGAACTTGCGATATGACACTGAGTGAGTGAATTCTCAGCCTATGTGGTATTGAACAATATCGTTCGATATGCCACAATCGACATTGTTGTCGCCAACGGCATCGTTGACAGAAGCACACTCAAAGCTCGTGGCTCAAGACTCATGCAACATCATTAGTTGCCTACATCTCACGTAAATCCAACGCATCGTGTATGCCACATCACTCAACTCTATCAAATAAGGATTGACCAAGCTTGCCTATTAAAGCAAGTCCCATCTCCATGTCATTGGAAACCACGAAGTGCTTATCCTGCCAGAAACCTTAGAGAAAATAAGCACAAGGGAGTCGCGGAGAATCTCAAATCGCAATCGGAGAACTACGAAGGATCGAACTTGCAGGATCATGTTCAGCTCGAAATCGGCATAGGGCTTACATGCGAATCGCCCGAGAAGCTGAGAGGCTCATAACTCCGAGTGGCTGTACCGCGAAAGAGTGAGACAAGTTTTGGCGAGAAACGAGTTCCACTTTGTCTTAGCTGCCCCTCACGAAGCTCTCCAGCTCCTCCTTGGGGCCACGCTAGACGCGGGGTCTCATTGATAAAGACGTCGGAATCCTCAAATGGTCCAACGGTCGTGAGCCCGCGGAGATATCAAATTATCAGGTTCCAAGACTTTATCATTTACACCCAGCCTGTCGTTTCTTTACAAAAGGATCTATCAAATACTCACCTTAAAATACGCTTCAACAATGCCCGTACTCAAGCCCAATGCTGAATTCGGGCACTGCGTGCCCCCTGAGACGCAGTATGGAATTACCACCTACGCACCCGGTTGGGAAAATGCAATCAAGTTTCGGGAGGGAGATCGGGCCACCATGGCTCGTGTTGTACACATATATCCGAGATTTGGACCCTTCGGGCCCGTCTCCAAGGTCAGTCTTGTTCTTCCTTAAGACCCCTTGGATGAACAATACCACTCTAGACTATAGATGCAAATAACCCACCAATTTTAATAATGTAGCTGACACAAGTAAACAAGGCACTCATGGCCATCTGCGCAAAGATCAAAACCCCCGAAGGCCACGGAGCACTCTTCTTCACCTCCCCGGCCTCCTTCGCCACCGTCCGCGCCCACGCTCTTCACCCTCACCGGAAGCAGCACGTCCTGACAGACGACGACCTGGGCTACCGGTGTGTAGATGTCGGCGATGTGCGCCTCTACCTCGTCACCTACCCGATGCCCAAGACCCCTGGCGTCATCGGCGCCTGGCAAAACCCGGGCATAGGCGTCTCGATCCGTCTGGCAGAGAAGCTCCTGGAGGACATTGAGTCCTTGAAAGAGGTCGAGTTCGAAGGCGCGGGAGACTCCTCGCCGCCGACAGAGTATCTACCCGAGGGCGAGGCACACGGAAAGCTGAGGGAACGTATCATTGGGCTCCTTCACCGGGCCGCGATCGATCCGGACCAGGTGAAAGCCGAGGCCAGAGACGTGTTTTTGTACCCCACGGGTATGGCCGCCATCTTCGCCGCCCATAGAACCCTGCTCGAGTACCGGCCCGGCAGCGTCGTGATCCTAGGCATCGCCTTCCATAGTACCGTTCACTACCTCCAAGACTCCTCGCCACAGGGCTACAAGCACTTCGGTCCTGTCGACAAAAAGGGTGTCGACGAGTTTGAGTCTTGGCTCGATGCAGAAACGGCTTCTGGTAGGGACGTGAGCTATGTCATCGCCGAGTTCCCCAACAACCCTCTACTAGCCAGCACTGATATCAATCGTATCAGAAAGCTTGTAAGTGACCAAATCATGAGAAATCAGGGATCGGCATACCTTGTTAACACCTCTTGATAGTCTCAAAAGCACAACTTCATCCTCGTGCTCGATGACACAGTCGGTTCCTTCAGCAACATCGACATCCTGCCCCAATCCGACATCCTGATCTCCTCGCTCACAAAGTCCTTCTCAGGCTACGCAAACGTCATGGGCGGCAGTATCGTCCTCAACCCGCTCTCACCACACTATTCCCACCTCCACCCCCTCTGGTCCAAAACCCATCACAATGAGCTCTTCATCGGCGATGCAGAGGTCCTCCTCTCCAACTCGGAAGACTACCTTCCGCGCACCGCGATCCTGAACCGCAACGCCGCCGCCATGGCCGCTCATCTCCACGCCGAAGCCTCCAAGAACCCTGGATCAGGAGTCGTGAAAGTCCTCTACCCCTCCGTTCTTCCAGACTACGAGACCTACAAGTCCTTCCTCCGTAAATCGACACCGGAGCTTCCTGAGCCGGGCGCGGGCTGTCTACTGAGCGTCGACTTTGACTCCGTAGACGCTGCGCGCGCCTTCTATGACCGGTTGGCGTTTTACCCGGGCCCTCATCTCGGTGCGCACCGCACGCTCTGCTTGGCGTATAACACGCTCGCGTTCGGTAAGGACCCCGACGAGGCGGCGTTCCATCGGTCGTATGGCATCTTGGAGGAGACTGTGCGTATTTCTGCTGGATTGGAGGATGTGCAGGACCTTCTTGATACACTGGATGATGCGTTGGCTGTTGCGAGGGAGGTCAAGGAGAAGTTGGCGGAGGGTCCCACGACCGTGGAGGCTGCTGCTGGTCTTGGTGTTTCTGCCTAGCAGTTTGCCTTGTTCAGCTGGGCTGATTTTGAGGCAGAGTAGAACTCTCGGCCAATAAAGTAGGTTTATGGATTGTTTTCTGCGAATCACGCTAGATTCAAAGTCCGTACGGCATGCCTTTCTCCAAATAATTTACATTCCGGCTGATCAGGCTCTCCTTTACGCAGGATTAGGAGACAAAATTTGCCCAGGTGGTGTCTAGAATACACCCCTCATCATCAGGTAAGTCTGTGTTGCTGTCAGCTGAACGTCTGCTTTACACACACCACTTCTTACACGGCCATTCCCTCCGATTGGTCAGTTCTGCATGTAATGTGCCAAGTAATTCAGCCCAAGACCCAGCCTGCTGCGTGCTGCTGTGCCAAGTTGCCAACACCCACGTTGCACAGTTAAAGCCCAATCTCGTGGGGAGAGAAAGCAAAAGAGATGGCTAACCCAACTAAAGACGTACTCGGCCTTTCATTTCACATTGTTCTTCTATTTCCTCACTATCCTCACTATCCTCACTATCCTCACTATCCTCACTATCCTCACTATCCTCACTATCCTCACTTTAGCCTTCTCCCAATTATACGCTCTCGTATACCACCATACCACCCAATAGTCATTACCATCACTATTAACTAAGACTCAACAATGGATGATCCTAAAGAATACACTGTCGGCTGGATATGCGGTCTCCTGATCGAGTTTATCGCGGCGAAAGCTTTTCTTGACGAGACGTACCAAAGCCCTCCTGAAATTGCACATCACGACAGTGGCGATATTGTCTATGCTCTGGGCAAGATTGCGCGCCATAACGTCGTTATTGCCGTCTCACTTAACGGGGGGAACAAACCAGGTTCATCAGCGGTAGTGGCTAAGCGTATGCTGAACAGCTTTCCGCATGTGCGTATTGGGTTGATGGTTGGCATCGGTAGCGGTGTGCCCAGCCCCGAGCACGATGTACGACTTGGCGATGTTGTGGTAGGCAGTTCTGTTCGAGGTGAAGGTGGCATTGTCCAGTATAGTTTCAACAGACCGACTCAAAGCCAGGACGCTTCCTTCGAGCAAACGATGCCTGTGAATCAACCGCCGGTCGCTCTACAAGCAGCTGTCTCCACCCTCGAACGTCAATATGGACTCAAATATCTTCAACTTGAGAGGAGAATCGAAGAAGCGTCAGCAAAGCGGGGTTACCTACAAGATTATGCGCGGCCCAATTCACACAGCGACAAGCCTCCTGGATCAAGCATTCTTCATCCAACCTCAGCTGACGAATATAGTGGCGAGTCCAGAGAGAATTCGACTTATCCTGTGAAGGAGACGCCGAAAGACAAGTCTCAGATCCACTATGGACTTATTGCGAGCTCAACCCAGATCATGGACAATGCCACCATGAGAGATCAACTGGCAAAGAACACAAACATCCTTTGCTACGAGACGGAGGCAGCTGATTTATCAAACGATTTTCCATGCTTAGTGATCCGTGGTATCTGCGACTACAATGAAGCACAGAGGAACAAAAAATGGCGAGGATTCGCAGCGATGGTCGCGGCTGCTTACACAACGGAGCTTCTGCGCTTTGTGTCACCGCGGGCATTGGATGCTGATAATATACCCAGCGGGTTGTTAGGCAAAGGTCAGTGTGCAAGCCCGCCTACAATATCACTCTCTGACTTTGTGTACCTACTTCTTTTTAGGGAAGCGCGGCCCTATGAATCATGACACGACCATGACAAAGATCGCGATGATAACCACAAGGAACGATCACGATGTCAACGAACAGCGCGGTGAGTATGGCAACGCTCTCCGGGCTGTAGCAAGACAAGATCGCGCCAGCATGGCAGCGGGTAGTTTCGGAGAAGACGCAGACTTCGATCCACCGAGTGGCCAGTATGGCAACGCCTTTAAGGCTGCGTTGAAAGGAGGCCATGGCCCTGACCGCTATGGTGCAGGCGCTGCATTGAAGAGAAGCCGCAACGACCTGTTCCAGACGTGGCTCGGCGAGGCATATTTAAACGAAAATGCTCGCCGAAGCCTTCGCTTCCAATGGGAAATCCCTGCAGTCTATGAGAAAATGCGACGAAAATCACTGCCTTCAGATGGAAGTGACGTTCTTGACTTGTTGTCAGGGTTCATCGTTCTGACTGGTGCAGGGGAAACATTCGAATGCTCCACATGCTCCGATTTCCTGCACAGGCGATGGCGTTACGCCGGCTCAATTGCACTACGAATCATGAGCATTGGAATCAGACAACTTCGATTTGGGGAGATGATATCCTCGGATCTCCTGCAACACAAAGATCCTACCGCAAAACACTTTGACATGGATGGATTTCTTGTACAAAATTCAACGACGCGAGAAATAGAGGTTCGATTTAATACCTATGGCCATGAAGCAAGAGAAGTCATCGCGGCTATGACGTGGATCAGTACAGCCATGCGACCGACTCCATCAACACCTACAAGCACCAGTCCAAGGCTATTCTGGTCGACTAGCTTATCCCATGAGCTTGGCAGCTCACTTCGCCCACTAGAAGAATGGCATCCCGTTGCTTCCCCTTGGTCTTCCTTCTGCTGGACGAAACTCTTTGACACTGGCGTTATAGCTTCGTGTTTCATCCTACGAGACTGGGGGAAGGGCCTTGAAATGTCATTCGATATGATGGTTCACCTTGCTGCAGTAGAAAACTACCACTCGCTGAACAAAGGAATTGTCTTGCTTGGCTTTGCCACGGCACTCATTCCGGTTGAGCGGTGTACAAGCTCGAAGAGTATTCAATGGCATTTTGAGGCTGTTGAAGATCCCATGGGTGGTTTTATAGAACCATCTAAACTGCCGATACAAGGGACTTCACAAACGTTCCAGGATAAGGCAGAATTCCAAGGCTCAAAATGTTTTATCGGCTGGTTTGAGGAAGCACATGTACTACTTGGAACTGAAAAGCTTCTTGGAACGACAAGCATGACCTGGAGCCAAACTGTCGAACGTCCCAGGACACTCCACCAGACGGGAGTTGAAGGCGGTGGCCAGATGGTTTTCTCTGCTGGCCCCATCAGCTTCGCCCCGCAAGGCATGGCAACCTTTGCGTTCATTTCTAATGTGCAAAGATTTGAGCCGACGCAACAATACAGGCAGTCACTGCATGCATGCCGGCGAAGAGTCGCACTCATCATCGACGCAGAAACTAAGCAAGCATGGCTCGTCCCGATACTCAGCTTGATACTACACCTCTGTCACATGTACTGGATGGACGTCAACAAACAATCTCGCAAGAAGAACCCCATACCGTTTGCAAAACCAGCACATGATGGCCATCGAGCGGTGCTAGATGCCATCGAGATGAAGGGAGACGTGGTTGTGCTGGGAACACTCGGAGAACCCGACACGGAAACATTACGCCAGCTTTTCTTGCGGATACATGCGTCTCTTACTCAGACAGCCGAAACGAGGGAAGAACCAAGAAACAATACTATTCTCGCGACAGAGCTAATGGCAATCATCGATACCCCTTTCCAAGGGAGCGCGTTACGAGAGGTTGACGCATCCGGCTCAGAGAGCCTGGTTAGCTCTTGGAAAGCTATCGTAAAACACGTTGACGTTGTTGGAGTTTGCGCAAAACTCGGGAGTGCCATAGAGCCGCTAATTCCACCCTCGATTCCAATGTGTTCGACTTGTTGTACGCTTCCAGCACAGAGATACTACCTAGCAGCTCACATGCAATGTCTCTTAGCGCTCTCTAAGACAGCAAAAATCAGCACAAATTCCCTCAGGAATGGCTGTCAATTAGGTCCTAGGACTTTCTGGTGCACTGAGTCCTCACCATGGTCCAGCTGTACTAGTCCTGGCCATGCACGTATTCGGAAGGATAACACACCTTACGAGGGGCTCCAATATATATCAACAAAGAAACCAAGAGAAAATCTCTCTACGGTAACCATAGATCAAGTCAAGGATGCAGGGATCGTTGTCACTAATGTTGTTGATACTGATGTCGTTGATACAGGTGTTGTGGTATTCGGAAGAGAACACATTGGGATTGAGAAGTGGCTAGAGAAGATCCGTCTGCATTGGACTAGATGATGGTTGATTCAAAGGGCATTGTTGTTCCAGACGTCTTGAAGATGAACGTGATGTTTCATGTCTTTTGTAGAACCGATAGCAAAACTGTACACAGGCCCTACAGACCGACGAGAGTCTGCGCCTCAACACTCGCTTGAGAAATAAAATAGTCTGTTATGATGTGCTTTACCTTTCTTTTGACTACCTGCATGTTCTTAAAGGTCGGTGTCAGGATACGTTTTGGGCAGGTCTCTGCACGTTCCATACCCCTTTTGTGCTGGATTTGCATTATTCTCCATAGGTTGCGTATACAATCGCTATGTCGAAACTCTGCTCTTGCCTCCGTGTGCCCATGTTCTCAGCTTGAATCCATCAGTTAGCCTTGCAAGGCATTCATAGAAGCCACCTATTCAGCGAGAACCCCGAGCCCAGCCACTAAGCAGAGGTTGTGGCCTCTTCCTTCTCAGGCTTACGACCGACAACCGAATAGCTGACATCAACCCATCAGCACATAGTATATTTCGATAGGCTTGTTGAAGTTGATACTCACATGGGGAAGTAGGCGTGATAGCTCCTGTTCTTCAAATCCTTCCGGACATTGACGAGAAAAACGTCGACCTCGTCGCGGGTCCAGCCGTGAACGCGGGTGAGCAGCGCCATGCATACGGCTTCCAGGGCGCTGGAGAAGTTCTCGTGACACCAAAGGCCAAGTTTCTTGTATCTATCGCAAGGTACATGTGGTGTCAGTTTGAGTATATCTCCCGACCTGAGGAATGCCGAAACATGTTTCATCCCCCAGTAGGACGGGGAATCGAGAGGAAAATGGAAGAAAGTATCGTTGAAATGCACATACTTCTCATCTTTGAGCCAACCATTCATAGGCCACTTGAATATCTGGAGCTCGACGTCGACAAAGCCAGCCTCAACAACAAGACTTTTGAGGGTAGATACGTCGACGAACACGCGGCCCATCTTTTCGGACCCAGAACGGATGAGATCGACATACTCGTGAATCGAAGAGTCCTTAGGAAGCGTGCCATCATCGGATACGGGGTCGACTTGATTCTCGAGAAGCTCAAGGTATCCGCCTGGTGCAATGTTGCTGAGGCCGGAGGTCAGCGATTCGCCCGATTGAACAGGTTAGCGGATATTGTTCGTGGAATACTAACTCGTAGCATTTTTTGAGGTATTCTTTCCAATTTGCAATGCTGGCGTTCATAAAGCGGCTGTGGATGTAGTGGAATGGTTCCGAGTACGTCCACTCTTCTTCGACATCGTCTATCTCGAACCTCACATTGGGGGGCACGCTGGCCATCTCAACATCAGCTCCGATAAAATGGGATTAGGTCTTCACTTGATATGCAAATCTGACTTTCAATTGCTGCTGAGGCGCAGAGAGATCGATACCCAGAATCTGGAAACGTAAGAATAGCATGGTAGAAGCGGATCGTCACGTCAAGCAAGTTCAGGGGCTCCAATGAAGAAATGGCCGCAAATTTACCTCAGCTTCGGGATGCAAGTTTCCGAAATCAACGGCCCAGACCCCGGTCCCAGTCCCGACGTCGAGAACGCGGCCGACTTTGGAGTCCGGTTTGCACGGAGGGGCGAGGCCCAGTTTGCCATCGAGAGTGTAGATGAAGATCTCATGTTGTTGATCTATTCTTCTAAATCAGGGAATCGGTCAATCAGAGCATGTGCTGCCTCCATTCAGAGCGCATCAGAAAAGCGGGCGCATACCTAATCTGTCACTCTCTCTTGCATCGTTGGGAAATATGTATTTTGCGTTTGGGTTCAGTTTTCCAGACGCCGTACATGACATGAGTACTGAAACGGAGGGAGGTATATATTACTGCCGTCCTTGTAACGATGGTAGGTTCTGCCATTCTCGATGCGGTAGTCGAGAATAGATGCGGTGATGCTTGTACTCGAGGACGCGATGCTCTAATGTTCTGTTAGAGACAGTTCAACACCATGCCACCGCACAGAGCTGATGGTAATAGGTTAAAGGATGCAGGTTGGCCTACCTCGAGATCCGACCCATTGTATTCAGAAGCCTAGTACGAAGAGAGAAAGGTGAGTATCGAGCTCGCAAAATTGTGGTAGCCACTACTAGGTAGTTTGTAGAACAGAATACAGACCTCATCTCCTGGCACGATCACAACCTCGTGGGTGAGCTCAGCCATATTTGGTAGCGTACGACTGCTTATGAGCTGGTTCGGGTTGCTCGAGCCTCAGTCGATGCCTGGTATCTTCGACTAGGTCTCAATAGAACTCTCCGCAACAGAGTCGAGGTCTGGCTCACACTAGTGTAATATGATCAAATAAGTCGAACAATAGAACGAGATGAGGCGCCCCTTTTGTCTTACTATATATGGGCAATGAACCCCTCTTCCAAAAGGGACGGATGAAACCATATACCCGCGATACCAACCCATATGCATATGCGTGTCAACGGCTCGGTTAACCTTTTCTGCTCATTTGCAAGGATTCAACTGTGGAGATATTGCCAGAAGTGCTTTTATTGCAGGAGACCTGCGATCAAGTGGTGCTTTCTCAGAAAGCCGTGGACCTTACAGATTGGTTATGCTTTACATCTCAGCAGTTGCTCAAATTCGTAAGATCTGCTTTGGCTTCATTATATATCTCTCTGCAAGTAGTCTTGCAGCTTGTTAAACGGAAGAGAACAAGAAAAGACGAACGCCAAACTTTCCCTTCCTCTTCGGGTCCAACGTACCAGAAGCCCACACATTCCACATAATCTCATCTACAAGGGCGTCACACCATTTTTCTATTCCTCCCGACTGTTCTCTTACACCATTGCAGTCACTCTCCTGACAGTTCTCCTCGCGCCTTCACCGCTAACCATGATAAGACCCTCCATCTCCAACGTCCGCATCGTCTCGTTGAAGTCGCTCTGCTCAACCGGCATGCTAGCCGACTCGCTGAGCCTCCGTGCAACCTCGGCCCACTTGACGGTCTGTCCGTTGCTGGTCAGCTCGTCGAGCAGGTGGAGCACAGCGTTCTTGATCTCCTCCTTCTTGCGGCGATCGGCAGCGCTCGTGCCTTCCGTCAGGAGACTCATGTCGATGCGACCCTGGGAGTCGGTGGCGGCAGTCTTCAAGGCAGAGCGAATGAGACGGGCGGCTTCCATGACGTCCTCACGAACGACGGTCGTAGATAGACGCATCTTCGCGTGAGCTTCGGACAGACGGATCATGGACTCAAGCTGACGGGTGGTGGCAGTGATGCGCTTCTCTGCAGCGCGGACATCCTGGCCGAGCTTGCGCATCTCGAGGTACTGATTGACCAGCTCCTGGGCGGCATCTTGGGCGATCGTAGGCTGTATTTGCGAGCGAGCGTAGGAGATGTAGGTGGTGAGGAACTCGACAGGCTGAACACAAGTCAGAAATTGTCAAAACGATGGGAGCTATCGGGCACTTACGAGAATATCGTCCTTCTGCTGGGCAGACTCTGGGTTATCTTCCAGGTACAAGGAAAGCAGATGGCGGGCAAGACGAGCATCGCTTTTCTCATCCGCGCGATCGAGAATGAGGTAGACCAAATCGAAACGAGAGAGCAGAGTTGGTGGCAAGTCAATGTTTTGAGGCACGGGCAGGTCAGGGTTGTAACGACTGCCAATCGGGTTGGCAGAAGCCAGAATACTCGTCCGGGCGTTCAAAGTGGTGATGATACCGGCTTTGGCAACGGACACCGTCTGCTGTTCCATCACTTCGTGGAGAACGGAACGAGTTGATTCTGACATCTTGTCGAACTCGTCGATACAGCAGACACCGCCGTCGGACAAGACCAGGGCACCGGACTCAAGAACAAGCTGGCGAGTCTCGGGATCTCTTGTGACGTACGCAGTGAGACCGACAGCTGAGGAGCCCTTACCGCTGGTGTACACACCACGAGGAGCAATCTTGTGCACGTAGGAGAGAATCTGGGACTTGGACGTCGAAGGGTCACCGCAGAGCAGGACGTTAATATCGCCTCTGTATCTGGGGCTGCCACCCTTGGTGAAAGTCTTGTTGGTGCCACCGAATAGTTGCAGCAAAATTCCCTTCTTCACGTCGTCCATCTCGTAGATAGATGGGGCGAGTGAGCGAGAAAGAAGATCGTAGATGTCTGGCCTGGCAGCGGTCTCCTTAATCTTCTCTTCCTCCTCTGGGCTGATCTTCTTGGTTTCTTCCATGTTGGGGTCGTTGCTAGACTCTTCTTCTTCACCTTCAAGGCCGAGGGTCGAAGGGTCGACTCCCATCCTCTTCTTATCCACCTTTTGAACGTGCAGAACATCGACATATGTCTTGTAGATGCTCTTGATGGTTCTTTGGCGAGGGTTCACACGCACAGGGTTGACGCGGAAAATACCCGTAAGCTCGACACGGTCACCAGCTTTGCAGAAGTCCACCAACTCGTTGTACACGCAGACTGAAACCGAATGGGGCGTTTGTCCGGCAGGAACCGCGTCGGGAGTCTCCTGAAGCTTGATCACCTGCTTGTCGTCGAAGACACAGCGGTTGTGGATGATCTGCATGGAGTTCTTGGAGGCACAGCGAGTACGCGGGCACTCGGTGGGCTCACGGATTTTGCCTCTGTCGAGACCAACGTTGACTGAGTGGTTGCAAACGCTGCAACGGAAGAACGCGTCCTTCATGTCTGGGATGACTGGCGTGGTGCGAATGACAAGACCCTTGATGGTGATGAGCCTGTCCATATCTGAGGGGTTCAGGTCTCGAAGGTTGGTCGTCTTGTCCAGTCCGAAAGGTCGGACCATGTAAAGCAAGCCAGAAACCTCGTCTTCCTTGGAAGGGAGGTCCATAGTAGGTCGCGGTGTCGGGGCATCAGAGCCAGCATGGTCTGAGCTCGGGAAGGCAATCTCGGAGCTGGGTGCAGTGTTGCTACGCCTAGCCGCATCGCCAGCACTGCTCTGAGAGGCACGTTGTCTTTGGTCTTCGGCTCTTGCTAGCTCTACCATCATGTCGCTCACTGACTGATCCATGATGGGGACGATTTCCTGCGGGTAGGCTTGGAGGTGGTACCAGAGCTTGCGTGTTGGGGGGTATGTGTTCAGATCGGCGACGTTGAGATGGAGCCTGGCGGTACCGAGAAGAAGCATGTTTTCCAAAGCCTCCCAGTATGGCTTGGACTCGGCGTCGGGGGCATTCTGAACCTCTGCTTCGGTCCAGCCCTCCCTGTACAGCTGGTATTTACGTGTGAAGTGCCTGAGGAAATCTTTGAAGGCTGCGAATGTGTCGTCGACTGAAACCGTGGTACCCCAAATGGCACTCTCTCCCTGTCCACCAAGACGATCTGCCTCTGACGTGTTGGGGTCTGGGTTGCTGAACGAAAGTGCATCGGAGCCCGGGGCGTCGGTGGTTACTCTGCCTTGAGGATCCAAGACAATGCGGCGGCGGGGTGTTCTGATGCCTTCTGAGTTGATGTCACCTCTGCGGGAGCGAGATGCTCTATCAGAGACGAAAAGACCACTGCTTTCACTGCGCAAGTCTGACTGAGGGGCCCGCATCGGTCCCGGGCTGGAGCTGGCTTCGTATCGGATTGGTGACGATTCTGGACATACAAGTCAGTACGTTGCACGCATATACACTAATGAAGTGCTTACCTCTCATCATACCGCTCGCACGCGGTGTCCTGTCTCCGTCGCCGGTAGATTGGGTGTCAATGTCTTGACGCAGTGGTGAGCTGGGAGCAGGCCCAGCGGCGGTGCTCTGGCTGTTGCTCATGTTCCGCAAGGGGGACGAAACATCGCCATTGGCAGGTGCATTGCGACGACCATTGGCAGACTGCGCCGGAGAGGATTCATAGAACAGAGGGCTGGATGCAAGCTGGGACCGGCGGGTTGTGCGAGGGGTCTCTGCAGGGCGTTGTTGCGCCTCTTCGTCTGCCGGCGCGGGAGTGCTGCGATCAGCGTCCGGGTTGTTTCTCGTAGAACGGCGGGGAGTTCCACCAGCCGTTGAGCTTCTTGTCGACCTTTTCGAAGGGGAAGACATTTTGTTGATTTTGACGTTCGTAGTCTTCCTTGCGGGTTGTTGGTCGAACGGGGGGAAAGTGGGATGCGGGATGCGACTGAAAGAATATGTGCGTTGCTGGGGAGAGGGGAGGTGTGGAGAGGCGTCGTTCAGGAGCAACTAAAAGGTGGGCTGCATTGCAATCTCGAAAAAGCACTTTACGCGCTCACCCGGTCTGAACGCGTCCTAAAAAGGAGTTTCGCGTTTTCCACTTTACGCGCTGTGGAAGCATTGGCCTGTGCGTTCCATCTACCGCCCATGTCGCTGGGGCTACCTTTCTGATGGGGGCTCGAAGCTTGGTGGATCCCCATATCCCTGCTATCCGGCCATCGGCGAAACCACCCACCGACTTGCACCGATTCTGGGATGCTGAGGTGGTCAATTGCATCCCGCCAGAGCTCCCTACCAGGCACCGTTGACTAAAGTGACATTACCCAGCAACCCACCAACAAGCGCAATCCGGCGCAATAACACCCCAAACGACCGTCAAGATGGCTCCTGGAATGTCCCTTTTCTCCGTCAATGCGATCCTGATCCTCAGCATTGAGGACGGATCGCGGTTATTCTCCAAGTACTACAGCGCACCCCACCAAGGTACACAGAAGGACGGTATGCGCTGGCTCTCCCCCCTCCCACGCAGAGCTCTGGAGCTCCATGACTGACGGGATCGATCCACGATAGGCCAGACAAACCCCTACCCCGATGTCAAGTCGCAAAAGGCCTTTGAGAAGGGTCTTCTGGAGAAGACGGCCAAGCAGACCGGCGATATCATCCTCTACGACAACCGGATCGTTCTGTACAAGATGGAGTCGGACGTTATGATGTACGTCGTTGGAGGCGTCGACGAGAACGAGGTTCTGCTTTACAACGTCATTCTGGCCCTGAGAGATTCCCTGCACCTCCTCTTCAAGTAAGCTATACCCCTTTGTGTTCCCTGGGAGCTGCAGGTAGCTGGTGGTTCTAACAGCTTTGTCAGGCAATCTGTCGACAAGCGCACAATCGTCGAGAACTACGACCTCGTCTCCCTCGCTATCGACGAGATTGTTGACGACGGTATCATCCTCGAGACCGACCCCACCATTATCGTCCAAAGAGTTAGCAAGGCGCCGGCGCAAGACGTTGACCTCCGCCGCATCGACCTCAGTGAACAAGGTGTCAACAACCTGGCCCAGCTGGGTAAGTCGAAACTGGCGGACTGGCTGCGGCAAGGCTTGTAAGGGGTTGGCCCCGTTGTAAGGGAGAGGTAAAGAGAGAGGATGGAGATATAAACCAGGGACGGTTGTGCAAATGGGAGTTTTATGGTGGCTTCTAAAGGGAACGCATCATTAAAAGTATAGTCCTCTGAAATGGGGACGTCATGACGAATGCCTCGAATTTATGCTTGATTCTATTTTTTTGTCCAAGAAACCCGTCTATGCTCGGATCTCGGAGGCTGCCTTGCGGAGCCTGTTCATTACCGCCTCTGCAATGTCATTTCTGTCATCGATACCGTCCACGAAGATGACACTGGCACCTCTTCTATCCAGATCCCTTAGCGCCGAGAAAAGCCCCTGAGCGATCCCCCTGATGTCATCGCCCAGATCTATGTCGAGGATCGTCGCCATGGGCTTATCCTCCGCGTCCTGAAGCTCGCCCTCCTGTACCTCGTACGCCGCTTCGTCCCTCGCATTCGCCGCCGTAGCCCCGTCGACATGAATCTTGGAGACTTGCAATGCGCCATGGTGCAGACCACCCGCAATCTTCCACCGTCTCGTGCGAATGATACCAATCTTGAGCGGACTCGGCCCCGCGCCATTCGTCGCAGTCACGTCGCCGTTCTGCTGGATCAGCGCCTTCTGCAGGTCCTCGGCAATGATACCCTCGGCACCCGCCTCGCAAGCCCACTCGTACAACACAACCTTTGCCTTGGGGCTGTAATGCTTATACTTCATCCCCGGCGCCCGCGGCGTCGCCTTGCCCATCTCGCTCTCGTCTTTATACGCCTTGACGACGCCCTCCCAGCCGGGACAAGTCCGCAGCTCCTCCATGCCCACGCCGCCGGGCCTCAGCACGACGGGCGGGTCGCACAGGCCGTCGACGACGGTGCTCTCCACGCCGACCTGGCACGCTCCGCCGTCCAGGATGAGCTCGATGCGCCCTTCCAGGTCGTGCAAGACGTGCTGCGCCGTCGTGGGTGACGGTTTCGTGGAGGCATTGGCTGAAGGTGCGGCCAGGGGCACGCCGGCGAGCTTGATGAGCGTCAGCGCCAGCGGCGAGGACGGCATTCGGACGCCGAAGCTCGGTAGCCCCGCCGTGACTTCGGGCGCGAGCTTGCTCGGCTCCGGATTCCTCAGCAAGATCGTCAGGGGTCCGGGCCAGAACTTTTCAATGAGCGGCTTGTAGATTTCCGGGATCGGGTCTTTTCCTGCTGCGTCGCCGTTTGTCTGCCTCTCGGACCGCAGCAGGCTCCGCAGCATGTCTAGATCGCAGACGTGCGATATCAGAGGGTTGTCTGATGGCCGGCCCTTGGCTGAGTAGATGCCCTTGACGGCGCCGCTTCTCGTGGCGTCGGCCCCGAGGCCGTAGACGGTTTCGGTTGGAAATGCCACGGGCGTGTCCTTGCTGCGCAAGTATTCCGCGGCATCTCGTAGGGCGGCTATTGATGCGCCAGAGGCTGAGTTGGCGATTTCCCAGTTGCTTAATCTCTCAGGTCCCTCTGCATCTCTGAAACTCCCCAGCTCTTGAGCCTCGACCTTCACTACTCGGGTCTCCATTGTGACTTTGTTGTTGTGTTGTGATGAAAGTAGTCGCCGGTAGTTGTGGCTAGAAGTTGTAATGCAACGACTTATACGGCGTATGAGAGAAGGTGCAAAAAGAGACGTGGGTTGAGTTTGCATAAAATTCAGGGATGGGAAGAAAATAAAGTTTACAGAAGAGGGTCTGCTAAGATGGCTTTCTCCGATATCAAAAGAAGAATCTAGATCGTCGTCATATAAGATTAATTGGGTATCAACAAAAGGTCTTCATGCAGATCAAGTGGATGGGAGGAACGGGATGGTCAAAGTTGAGTCATATGTGGGAAAAAATTCTCTGGATGAGGCTAAGTGAGTGAGGTGTGTGTGGCCGTTGGTACTGCACTTTAGCGGCGATATTTCCGAGTTTAGGGAACCGGTGGTCGGGTCTTGCCCGTCAGTAGCAGTGACATCTGCCGCTAAGGTCACCTCCGCCGATCGGCTTTCAGTGGGGCCAGTGATGTGATTGTGGTGGGGTTTGAGTCTGCTTCAGGCACTTGCCACGTGCTGACTAGCCGTGGCCGACTTCGAGAAACTCCGTCTATGAAGTTTAAGGTAGAATACTCTGTAACAGCTTCGGCTTGGAAGTTGTGGTCATGACCTCCTTTCGTCTGCTATTGAGAGGCATTTTGCAGGCTACGTGCGCCGAACAGTGATCATAAACTTTGGCATCCTCTACTTTGCACTTCTATCCTCAGGGTGCTGTTTGTGCAACCCAGTATACTAATAGCTGCAAAATTGCAGTTTGATCTTGTAAGAATCATCTAGTCACGAAATTGGCTTTGAGAGAAGGTCACGAGGTAATTCAAGCATCTTCGCTAGCTTTTGATTGCATTCTTTGTGCCCAGACGGTACCCTCGACTTTCCCAGTCTCCATCCCTAGAAGATGGCCGCATCAATGCAGAGCCCTGCCTATCATGCAATGAGATCTCCCGTCTATAATTTGGCTGACCGGAGTCAGTCTCACCATGTGTTGCATAGACTCGGTGCAAGCACGCAAGGGAACTGCGGCTCTTAGTCTCCCACACGGCTTTTGCCGCAGTCAAGAAGACTCGAACCTGCGTTCTCCTTAAGCAGCCCTGGCCCGAGTCCAAATTGGATGGGTAGCTCGCATAGCCTTCGTGATAAGATAGACATCTGCCGTGGGACGCGGCGTGGCATCTGGATCTGCCCCAGACCAGTGAGACTGTCTTTCGCTACCATCAGAGCCAGTTTGGTGTGTGCTTGAACGCAGGCAGGTTGGCCTCATATCATCGCCTGACTGTCTCCTGCCTGTTGGATTCAAGCCACTAGCCGGTGCTGAGGCTGTTACTGTTTTGCAAGCTGACGGAAGGCATCAGACAAGCTCAGCGTTCCCGTCATCGACAACGGGTTTTGCGCTAGACCATCTCAAAATCAAGATGTCACCCGTCTCCGCTAGCACGGAGCCGTCCGCGTCCGTTCCCTTTCCTTCGACTTCTGTGTCTCGTAGCATACGAATAAAGACTGCTGTATCGAGATCCGGCCCGTCGATCATGCTAATGTTGCCAGCGGTATCGTTGAGGTTCTGTAGGTTTGGCGGGAAGGAGGAGAGGAAGGACGAAAGATAGTGATTATGCAGCAGTGCCTGATGGCGAGTCGCGTATGCCAGTTCTGTTTCGGAAAGACGGGCGCGGAGAGCCGGAGACGAGAGGTAGTGGAGAGCATGTTTATCGATCTACAGTATCAGAGCAGACAGTTAGCCACACTCGGTGCCAATGTTCGAACACGCGCCGAAGTCGATTGGAGAGCTGCGAAGATTGGGTACCTTTGCGATACGAGCACGAAGGAAGCTTCTGACGAGGAACTTGAAGCGCTCAAGCTCGGTTTGAATGACAATGAGAGCGAAGTTGGTCTTGGGGTCCATGTCACCCGTCATGTCTTCGACCTTTTCGATCTGGTGCTTAATGCGATCATTGACGCGCTCAAACAGACCACCTGTAGGCCATCTGACGCAGCGCAAGTCAGCACGGCACAAAATTGAGATTCATCTGTTCGGAAAACACCGAGAGGCAGGGGGTCACACACTCGAGAAGTTCTGGGGCAGTTCGCTCTGCCACCCAAGCGCGCGTCAGGGCCTGTAAGTCGCGTGTCTCGGAGGGAATTGAGTACGAGACTGGGTCGACCTCGCGTAGGATATCGTCAATGTCCATTGTATCTGGCTTCTATAAAGGTGTGGGCTGGAACGGGTGCTATAACATGGCGAGATTACGTTTGGCGGCGCGCTGTTGGGTGACGCGAGTTCGAGGTCGAAATTGGATCGCGGGATTCTTGGAGGAGAAAGAATCGCGGGGTGCTAATTGACTTCAATGGTGGGGTCCTGCTGGAGGTGGAGCCACAGAGCTGGGCACAGGGTGCTCGGATAAGAGGGTACGTGTGGATGCAGTGACAAGAAGCCGGGGTCAAGGTATCTTTCTATCTAGTTGCTCCAGTCATCCTCATCACCTTTCGTACACAGCTGCTTTCTGACCGACATCTATATTCTTAGAGACCAAGAATACTGCTCAACTGTCTCTCAATTGTTTGCAAATAATTTTATTTGGTGATCTTGAGACGATTTACTTGGTGGTTGCTTTGCAGCTGCCGTGTTGCCGATTACATGATCGCCCCGACGGACAACGCTCACTTCCTATTGTTACCATGACGAGTAACATGGGAGCTTCGTGCCGAGGCTCCCAGCCGGGGAGCTTCCGGATCTGACACTCTTCGGAGTATTTCAAGACGCCAATGCCACCCCCGCAATCCCTCGATCTTCCCAAGTTCATTTCTAGACGTTGGGATAATATGATTCACGATTGTCAATAAGAAAACAATCTACAGCGAAGGTCATCTGTAACATCCAAACAGATTTTCTAGATTTCTTTTGAACCTTTTCGAGCTCCTCCCTTCTCACAATGGCAGACTCAGGCGATGGCGATGAGCGGACCCCTTACTCGGCCTACGCCGTCAGCATCTATCAAAACGGCATTATGGCAGGCCAATTGCCAATCGTGACAACGGATCCCAACGGCTTGCAGGCCCAGGCCAAGAAGGCCATGGGCCCAGAGTCCTTCAACTACGTCTTCGGAGGCGCTGGCGAGCTCTCGACTATGGACGCGAACCGTCTGGCCTTTCGCCAGTGGAAGATTGTCCCTCGCTTCCTGAGACCTAGCAATCCTCGGGATTTGAAAACAGAGTTATTTGGCGTGACTTATGGTACGTTGCGGCTGTCAACCCAATTTTAAAATGAGACACTGCTCTAAGACAATATCTCAGAGTCTCCCCTTTTGATGGCTCCCATCGGGGTCCAGAGCATCTTCCATGAGGACAAGGAGACGGGTCTGGCAGCCGCCTGCGCCGAGTTGCAAGTGCCGTACACGTTGAGCACGGCGGCGACCTCGACAATTGAGGAGGTCGCTAAGGTCTGTGGCGACCAGCACCGCTGGTTCCAGTTATACTGGCCCATGGATGATGACATTACGGGATCGATCCTCAGACGCGCCAGGGCCAACGGGTACAAGGTCCTCGTCGTCACCCTCGACACCGTGACTTTGGCTTGGCGACCGGCCGATCTCGACCAGGCATATCTGCCCTTCATCACGGGCACAGGCAACTCGGTCGGCTTCAGCGATCCCGTCTTCCGCAAGAAGTTTTCCGAGCAGAACGACGGCGACCAGGTAGAGGACAACATCATCAGCGCCTCGCGGTACTGGATCAGCCAGGCCTTCCCCGGCGATCACCATTCGTGGAAGGATCTGGCGCTCCTGAAGAAGAACTGGGACGGGCCCATCGTTCTTAAGGGCGTGCTGAGCGTCGAGGACGCCAAGCTCGCCGTGGAGCACGGCATGTCGGGCATCATCGTCAGCAACCACGGCGGCCGACAGCTCGACGGCGGGGTCGCCTCGCTCGAGGTGCTCCCGGAGATTGTGGAAGCCGTGGGCGACAAGCTCACGGTTATGTTCGATTCCGGGATCCGAACTGGGGCGGACATTGTCAAGGCGATCGCTCTGGGGGCTAAGGCCGTCTTCGTTGGCAGACCCGCCATCTATGGCCTGGGCATTGCGGGTAAAGAGGGCGCGAAGGCTGTCATCGCAGGGCTGCTTGCTGATCTGGACTTGACAATGGGACTATCCGGCTTCAAGAGTCTCTCCGAGCTCAAGCCTTCCATCCTTCGGCAGGTTCGGTACGGCGGGGATATGAAAGCTAACCTGTAGTATTATCGGTACCTTCGCTTTCTAAATGTAGGGTCTAGCAGGACGGCAAGCCGTTGTGCCGAGAATATTCTGTGTTGTCGCTTTCGCAATGAAGGTGTAGGAATACAAGCTTATTTTCTTTTCGGAAAATAGTGTCGATCGTAGCCCCATTCCCTTGGTCTCATCACACCTTCTCCGCGGGGCTTATTGAGATTTGACCCAGCATGGAGTCGTGGACTAACAAGCAATAAGCATATTGCGGGCCATATTTTCCCCCGCACCCTAGGTACCAGTCCCGGAATGCTCGCCATCCGGGCGTGCTTGCAGCTCGGGAACGAAAGAGCCACCGAGCTAACGTTCGGCTCCTGTCGACTGTCTTGGGCCGAGACAGGCCAAGACTATCAGATCGCAAGTGCCAATGTCCATCGCGTCAAAGCATGCCATTGGGGTCTTTGCTATTCATTCCTCACGTGGTTTGCAATCCTTCTCGCTGCAATTCGACCAACCCAGGCTTTTCTCTACCTAGCGAGAAGTCCTTCCTCTCAGCACGCTAAGATCAAATGCAGCCTGGCTGGGCGAACACTGAGCTGTTCTTCGCAAGTCAATTACAGTCAATTGTTGGGCCTTCCGGGTATCCCACCTCACAGCCACGACAAGGCTGCTGCTGGTGCCCGCCTGCAAAAGAGTTCACAGGCCTTTGCCACACTGTTCCCCTTCCATGACGAGATCATCATCTCTTTCTGGGGAATGTTCGTGATCTTCTGAGGTGCTACCACGGGCTAGCGCGCATTCGTCCCAGTTTATCCTTTCCAATAGCTCCATGGGAAAGGGTCCATCCGAGGGAGCGGGATTAAGAGTGCAGTAAGCATATTCTTGTGGAGAGCGGGCTTGTCTCTGAGTAATCTCGTTGCAAAAGAGTCTCATCACAAGGCGTCATGTTGTTGACAAGATGGGGTGATCACTCAGAGTTATCTGATATATAAGACGGCAGCGGGGCGCGCGATGTAAGAGAGATGAAGGAAGAAGCCACAGTAGATACAACCATCTCACCAGCAGTCCTTCCTTACCAAAACTCAATCAACCCTTTCTCGTGAATCTATTATACATAAGCACATAGTCACTATACCCCTCTTACAACCTCCATCTAATACAGTCCCATCAAAATGCGTACCTCATCCATCATCCTCGCGGCCGCGTCCGCCGCCTCCGTTCTGGGTGCCCCTCTCGAGAAGAAGGCCAACTACGACCCCCTTCCCGGCGGTGATATCACCATCTTGAAGTAAGTCACATGAGAAGCAAGTAGTTTGTTCATGATCTAATGAAGGGTTGATAGCTATGCTCTTACCCTCGAGTACCTCGAGCGCAAGTTCTACGAGGAGGGCTTGAAGAACTACACCGAGGCCGACTTTTGCAAGTACGCCGGTGAGGTCGGCGAGAAGTTCTACAAGAACCTCAAGACCATCTACGAGGACGAGAAGGTAAAGTTTTACCCCTGACATACCACAAAGCACCCAAAAGAGTGATCCCTAAACCCCCATCACCCGTCCTACCGGAAAACCGGTCAAAACCCAGACTAACAATCCTCCCCAAAATACCAGACCCACGTCGACTTCCTCAAGGGCGCCCTTGGCACCTCCGCCATCCCCGAGCCAACCTTTGACTTCCCCGTCGACGACGCCGACTCCTTCCTCGCCCTCGCCTCCGTCCTCGAGGGCGTCGGTGTGTCCGCCTACCTCGGTGCCGCCGCCGTCATCGCAGACAAGACCTACGTCCCCGTCGCCGGCTCCATCCTGACCGTCGAGGCCCGCCACTCCTCCTACATCCGCGCCGCCCTCCGCCAGAAGCCCTTCCCCACCCCCTTCGACACCCCTCTCGACTTCAACCAGGTCTACTCCCTCGCCGCCCAGTTCGTCACCGGCTTCGCCCCCGGCACGCCCGCCCTGCCCTTCAAGGCCTTCCCCTCGTTGACCGTCTCCCCCACGCCCAGCTCCCACGGTGCTCTCTTCGAGGGTGCTTACAAGGCTGCTGTTGATGCGAAGACTGTCCCCGCCGGAGCTACCGTCTACGCCGTCTTCTACTCTGGACTTGACACCTACTACTCCGAGGTTGCCGTCAGCGGCAACGACGTAAGTGCCAGCCTTTCTGACACTGTCTTTAAATGGATGAATCTTGTGCTAACCATGTCTTCCTGTAGTACATCGTCGAGCAGCTCCCCGAGGGTCCCGCTGGCCAGGTGTACTGCGTTCTTAGCACCGCCAACGGCAACAGCACCAAGGTCTCTGACGAGAACACTGTTGCCGGTGTCGCCATCCTTGAGATTGAGGAGGCCGACTGGTAAACAAGTGACTGTCCTTGTACCCAAAAAATGGGTTCGTGACAAAATGGTTGCATGAAGCAGTCTAGAGCACCCTTGATGAATATCTGATATTTGATACGGCTTTTATTATTATTATCTTAAATCTTCTTTGTAAATATTGGAAAATTAGCTCGAACTGGGGAAACCGCCTTGATAATTAATGCAATATTGTAACACAACTCATCTGCCTTGTGAAGCTTGCCATCTAATGTAGACCGATAAGATCACACTTTAGCAATGATGGCGCATCTCTGGTAGAAACAATGTTTCTGTCCATACCATGGTGTTTGAAAGCTACCTTACGTTTACAACAATGAAGGGCATCTATACAATAGAGCCAAGTCACTTGCTCCAAGGTCGAAAGATGAATACGTAAACGTACCTACGTACCTACCTATGTATCGACCTTACACACTGCCACAAAAAGAAAAAAGGCACCTCCCCACAAGCGTCCCTCCTTCCCCCCAAAAGTTGAACCAAAGTCACCTGACTCCTGACCTTCCCTTCATCTGGATAGGCACCCCTGTGGTATATATTCCATTCCAACCTCGTTTTCCGTCACCAGCACAGCAGAGCCCGTCTAGGTCGGCGAGGTCAGGCCAAGCTGTGTGTGAGGTGGTCGAGTAGTTGAATTAAAGAAACACTCCCATGAAGTCAGAGTTCGGGTTGACTGAGGGCCGCACTGTTAGACTCCGGCCAGGGGCGTGAATGATACGGCCAGTTATCTCCTTTCCTTCTCCTCTTTTCTTTTTGTTTCTTCTACTGATTACTGGGTATTTGAAATTTCCTCTTTAGTGGCGGAGGTGCTGATGGATGCATTCGGAATGAAGATTCTCCTTCCGAGACTCGTATTGTTTTACTGATTCTACGGCGTTTGCTACCAGTGATAGGAAGGCCTCTCTTGGGCAAGCTACAAGTACGCGTTTTATCACCAGCCAATTACACACACGACCCAATCATCAAGTTGCACGTACAAAGCCAACCGTCTGACGAATCCTTCTCGGCAAACCTGACTTTTGCTTCTACCTTGGGATTCGCTTATACACGGTCCCTATCTGACTCACTTACATCACCCTATCTCACCACCGAGCAGTCAGACCACGATATTCCTCCCCTAATTCATCCCAGAAACCCCGTCCTTGAACTTCTCAAAAATCGAGAGATCAATACCCTCAGCCATGGCCTCGTACCCAGCCGGGTTCAAATGCAAGTGATCCCCCGTATCATACTCGGCCCTCAACTTCTCCGGCGCCGCGGGGTCCCTCACAATCGCGTCAAAGTCAATCACGGCATCGTACCGCCCGCTGCTCCGAATCCACTCATTCACCCTCTGCCGCGCCGCCTCCCTCGTCGGGTCAGAGTACGGCTGCCCGTCGCCCGTGAGCGGCGTGATGGTCGCACCAAACACCGCGATGCCGAACCGGTGAAGCCGCGTGACCATCTGATCGTACGCCGCCACGAGCCGGTCGCCCACGGCCTCCTGCGCGGCGGTGGTGTTGGCCGCGGTGCCGATGTCGTTGACGCCGATGAAGATGATGGCGTACTTGATACCAGACTGCGCGATGACGTCCCTGTCGATGCGGCCGAGACCGTTGGGACCCAGGCCGTCGGCCAGCACGCGGTTGCCGCCCGCGGCCTCGTTGACGATGGCGATGGCGCTGGTGGAGGACTCGTTTTGCATGCGCGCGAGGAGGCGGTCGGGCCAGCGGTTGTTGGCGTTGGTCGTCGAGCCGCGGCCGTCGCTGATGGAGTCGCCCACGATGGCGACGGCCGAGGCGCCCTTGGGGAGCCAGCCCTCGAGGGCGCTGATGAGGTACCAGTGATCCGTCGTCGTCGCGGTGGCGTTGCCGGCGGCGGTGGCAGCGAGGTCCTGGTCCGCGACGTGGTTCCCGCTCTTGAGGAAGGACGTGGTGCGGCTGCCCGGGTGGCCGGTGATGCTGTTGGTCGTCTGGCCGTCGGCGAGGTAGATTGTGATGGAGACGATGGACTGCGCCTCGACGGCAAGGTCGATCGGATCCGAGAAGACGATTGCGCCGGTGGGCACGACGAAGCCGCCGCTGCCCGAGAAGGTGACGACTTGGAGGGAGTCGGCGTCGACGCCGCTCGTGCCGGCTGTGTTGTTCGCCGTCCGGGCGATGGTCACGGCCGTGATCGGGAGGTCTGAGCCGCCAAAGGCGTTGCTGATTTGCAGGCGGAGGGTCGAGGTCGCGAGAGAGACTTTGACAGTTTGGCGGAGAGTCGCATCGTGGAAGACTCGGCCTGTCTCGTTCTGGGCGGGAGAGTTAGGGGGACGCTCCCGAGAAAAGCCATTGCGCTTCGAGGACGAGGAGAAAGAAAACTCACAAATGGCGCTGGGGGTAAGTTGGCAGGCTCGACCAGCTGAGGCATTGTCCCCCAGACGGTGACCCATTCCCTCTCATCTCGCGCAGGATGCTGAGGGCGTGCTTGTGTCAGAGGCGAGAGGAAGAGCAAGGCCGCGAAGGCCGTCTTGAGAGAGGCGATCATCATCGCGGTGAGCTACAGAGAAACGAGTGCTGGCTGCCAGATCCACTGCCCTGAGGCCCGAATCAAAAAGGGGGGCATCGTGAGCTTTATAAAGGATACTCGAAGACGGAATTCGGTGCTTTCATTAAGTCGCCTGCCCCTCAATATAACATGGTTCTCCAATTGGGGATTTCCATTGCTACGCTCGCTATGTGGGCATCCGGCAACGCGGAACCTGATGAACGCTGGATAATGGCAAGCGATGGGTTCAACCCGGTTGAAGTTCAGGCTAAATTCATAATGCCGTGGGGAAATTTGGGGATCAGAGTTGAAAGTGGGTGCTGCGGGAGATGAGACTGAGCAGTTCGTCCCATGCGATGCGACGCCGTCTCTCCAAGTCCCGCACTGGAGTCTGGAGCCGGGGCCGCTGTCTTCCCCGCATGGATACACTCCATTGGTACCGCCATGGGCCTGGGGAAGATCTTGGGGTCGGTGACGACCTGGGGAGGGGGGTGGTCTAGGTGAATGAGACTTTGGTCACGGGAGATAATGCAACGATGACGAGGATGGGAGCGTAGATCAATGATTGGCATTCCAATTGTACACCCAATGTGCATCTGTGTACAAGAAGAGGGGCGAGCGGCTCAAGTCCTCCAAGAAAACGACCGTGGTTCATCCAAACAATTCCAACGTCAAATCAACCAAACGCGAAACGAACAAGTAGCGAGCGACATTGAACAACATCCATCGACCAAAGTTTCAATCATCAAAGAGAAGTACCGAGCCATGTTGATGGCGAAAGAGAGAAGGAATCGAAGTAAAGCCATGGCCGACTATTTACGATCTCCTTCATTGCCCCGACTTCCTCAAGGCCTCGGCATGACACGAGGATAGGGAAGAAACGGAAGGGAGTATGAAGATGCAAGGTAGTTGGCAAGGTGTAACGGACAAGAAGGAAAGCTAACCAGACCAACACACTAGATGTCCAAGTGGAGTGCCGCGGGGGCAGGACCGGCAGCAACATCGGCCCAGTCACCGGCGCAAGTGATGAAAGCTTCGGAAGAATGGTTGGCCATGCCATACTCTTTCTCAAAGCTATCTGTAGCTCTGCTCACGCGCGAGTGCGAAATGTGGACCTTCATGCTGTCTTTGGACGAGTTGTCCTTGATGTCGAAGCCACCAGGGCACGGTTGACCCCAAAGCCACTGATAGGTGCTTATGTTCCCAAGTGGCAACTGTGTATCAAGGAGGTTCATGTTGTCCATGGTCAAGGCGGACCCAGGGACGATTGGGGCTGTAGCCATCGCTATAGTAGCGAGCGAGTTGAGGACAGTGTCTTCAGAGCCGGTTGTCTCCGAGGAAGTCCTGGAGGCAGTGACCTCGTGATGAGAGATCATGTCGAAGCCCCCATCAACTTCAACATCCGAGGTGTATGTTGGTTCGGAGCCTGACATATTACGGGCGACCCGGCGGTCAGCGATGGAGGAGGAAGGCTCGTTGGAGACCTTGTACTGCGGACTACGATGTTCTGAGTAGTTGCCCACAGCAGGATGGCGCAGAGTGGTGTTATGGGACTCGGGATGTGAGCGCTTGGTGTCTTCTTGGTGTGCCATCATGGTGATCTGGAGAAGGGCGAAGAGGGAGAGAGATGTCGAATGTTTATGAGCTTAGCGATCAAGCGACGTAAGCTGGTGGTGGATGGACCGAACGACCTTGTTACAGAGACGGCGTCAGACTTTGTCAAGCGGCCAAGGGTAGAAGACAAGTGTTGCTCACCACGGGTCCGGCGGGACTGGAACAGGCCCTGAAATGGCACAGCAGAGAAGAGGAGAAGAGAAGTGATGATGTTCGACTGGTCTGTGTCCAGCGATGAGAAGGGCCTTTCGCTGCTTTCGTTTCTGAGAAGCAGCGTGCCGTCCGTCTTTCAGGATAGCAGTGGACAAGATCTCTTATAACTGAAGCCCAAGAGCAGAATGGTAGGCTACAAAGTTGGTGTACAAACTAATTTGGTATACTGGAGAGAGAATGGGAGAAGGGGAGAAAAGCTGGTGGGCGGAGTGAGAGAGATTTATACCAGAAAGCGTCTGACTGGTGACTGGGGATGGTTAGTTGTGACCTGACGTTTGGGGGGTGTGGACGTCGACCGATGAAGGGGAAGGGTCGGCCAGTCTTTTCCCTCCTCTTTTTCCCCCCCCATTCCCTTTTTTTTTTTCTCTCTCTTACTCCCCCTCGGACCCTTCAGTCACTCATCTCAGGTACATCGATCCCAGCGCCACTTAGCTGCGCCGACGGTGCAGCTCGCTGCATGATGCTGCAGCGGCATGTAGGCGTGAAAGCCAGGTAGGGTGAGGGAGCGAGGTGAGTGGGAGTTTGACGGGGATTTCTTTGGGTTACCTTAGAAGAGTAAACATTTGGAGTCGGGGGCTGCTGGGCTTCCAGCAGCCAAGAGGACTGGGAAGGGTGGTAGGAAATGGTAGGACGGGAGCAGGAAGGAGGAAGAGGAGGATCGGAGTCGGACTGCTGCTGCACTGCAATGCCAGGTGTGGGGTAGCCTACTGCTGTGAGGTACTTTTTGAATCAACCTACCTTGCCATCTGAAGAAACAGCGTAAGGTACGGCTATACTTGGAAACTTAGGTTCGGACTTTTTTTTCTTTCTCTTTTTTGGCAGCTCACTCCCGCAGACTTTCTCGATTTGCGTGGGTTGTCACCTCCTGTCCATCAATTGCGTACTTAGGTATTGCACACTATATGCGCCTACCTATTTTACTCTCTGGGCAAAGTAGAAGAAACGTACCTGTGCAAGTTTCCCGACTTGAAGGAAGTCAAATTTGGCCTCAGGCTTGGGCTACCGCTGGCGCCATGGCGTTATTGCCGCGCATGCCAATGCCATCCCAAGCCTATCTTACGCAACACCTACTCTGACACCTTGAACTTGTCTCCTCCTTCTACTTTACCCTGTTCGTGGGCTCTTTGCTCGCCTCGTTTTTTGCATTGGGCTAGCAGCCCGAGAAGAGTACCTCAACACTTATACCAGCTCTTGTTTTTGCGCTTTGACGCCCGCGTTTTCGGAGCAGATACATGTTGATGTTTGTCGTCGCGTTCTAGCTTCTTTCGAGACCGACCACTGAGTTACCCCGCGTAGCTGCTGGGACTGGGTTCGTCGTGAGACATGACAGATGACATCCCTGGCCGCCGTCAACATCAAACCTCGACAAGGTTCTTGCTCTCGCGGTCCAGAATCACAATGGTCCATCTGAGCTATGCAAAACGGGAAACCCAACGAACCGTTGCCAACCCGTCCGCCCTGTTCTCGAATCCAGCTTAGAGCAAGCCACACGATGTGCAAGTATACCTACGGACACGGATACCTACCCTTTTACACAAACGTCTTCAACGTCTCTCAGGTCTTTCACGGGAATCAATGCCAAGCCCCGCCAGCTCGCTGCTGGTGATTAACCCCGAGGTGATGTCGCAAGCAACCTGGCTTGCCTGGAAACAAGCATAATGTGCCTCCCCCACCTTGAACTAATCATGCTTTGCAGCGCACTGCCCACGCTGGGTCTGCTACCAGTGGTCAATTGGCTTGCACCATCTCGCCGCAGTGGCCATGTGCTCTTGAAAGATCGTCAAAATGACGGTCTTGTAGCTAAGCTTTCTCACCGAAGAGGTGAGCCATACCTCCCATACGGAAGGAAATCGGACAACATCAAGAGCATCCTGTCCTTTTGGTCACTCACAAGCCAGTCCCGGGCATGGCACCATCAACTTTTCGGTGCAAGGGACGCGCGAATCGATACGTTCCCTTTCGACAATCTCCCGCCGCTGTGTCACACAGCCCGCCGGCCATCTGCAATATGATTGCACACGACGTTGCCCTACAGCCTGTCGTTTGGACCATTATCCAATTCAATCTTCAAATCACGTACGCACGCACGCCATTACCTTCCGCCGGCTTCAAGGCCAGATAGGAGTCCCCCGGTCCAATCACTCGCTCTCGACGAGTACAAGATTACCGAGCAAGATCGTTACGGCATTGCCTGAGCTTGTTGGTGTGGCGCGGTTACTCGCGGCCTGGGATTCCCCAGATGCTCGGGCCAGCAGCATCATTGGATCGACACCGAAACTCTGTTTAGCGAAACAGTGACATCTTTTGTTCCGCGCGGAATCTGACCCTAAGGTGCTCTTGGGTGCGTGCCGGCGGCCAGCCAGCCGATTTAGGACCTCTCATATCCCGCGACGACTTATCAGGCCATCCGAGTAACCTATCTTCGTCGGAACTTGGGCTGTGACTCAACTCTGCACCTGGCTCGGATTTCTTGGCGCTCTGCCATCTGATGTCTTGCAGTCTGTCTGTCACCGCACAGGGCCCGACGTCGGGGACGGACTCCGATCAGCATACTGCCAACATACTGGCCCTGCATTGCATCAGCAGCAATGCCAGCAAACACAACGGCAACCTTTCAGCTGTCTCTGATGGATGTACCTGTAAAGAGACAAGGCCCGTCGACGTCACGACACTAAACCCGAGCGCCAGACGTTACCCCCGGCCTGTATCAGCAGTATCCGGGCAGCCAACCATTGTGCTGAATGTTTCCCCCGTTCCCCGCAGTCGGTCTTGCCGGCAGCGTGCCTATGGGGAGCAGGACCGGTGCAGGAAGAACATGCAAGCTTACACACCACGAACCACACGAAGAGCCAGGCTATATCAGTCTGCTATATGCACAATAGCACCCAAGGCCCAAGGGAGTATTATTGAGTAAACAGGAGCCCCCGAAAGAAGCACGGGGCCCATCGCCGGCCGCGACAGGAAAGATCTTCGAAGTGGCCCTTCTCACATGACGGCGCAGAGGCCGGGCAGCACCGAACGGCAGCTTTGAGACGCCGAGCCACAATTCTCGGGCGCGAGTCCTGGACTCTGTCCCGTTTAGCGCTTTGGAACGCAGGACACATGCAGGACTCCCTCAGGAGTCCTACACGTTGCAACACTGTATTTGGCGTCTGGGCAACCACCTTGTCGGCTTGTCCAGTTGCTCTCAAAGTGACGCCTTCGAAGAAGGGGCAACGTGTCTGACTGACCCGGCCCCTTGAATTCGATATGCTTTCGAACAGCCCGGAATACTTCCCCGAACTCCTTGGCATGCAACGATAACCACGGCGGCATGAGGATTGGGGAACGTCAATCGTCTACCGCCAACCAGCCCCCTGCGAAGAGCCAACGCCCTGCTTGAGAAGGAGGAGGTCCACGCACTATCTGCGTTCCTGTGACCTCTGCGCGAAATATTTACATATCCTTGCTGCCTGTCTCGAGAGCCGTTGTGCCGATTCACCCAGGGAAAAGAGCGCCAAGAACGTTAGGATCCCCGAGTCCATTACCACAGCCCATCGCCGCCAGCCCTGCCACCAACCCTAGCGTTGGTTTTCATGTGCCCCGTTCACGGCCTTCGAGAAGACTTCTAGCGTGCGATCTCTCCTGCGCCGGACCCTTGCCGGCCGGGGCCCGCCCAAGACATGCAGCAGGCTGTCACTTACTTCCTCCTTCACTGGCCATGCTGCCAGGCCCTTATCCCAATCGCTCACGCTCTCGTACCTGTATCTGCTTGCTGGCCCTTTGGTGTGTGGCCGTGGCATGCATGACGACTTGCACGGGGAACCTCCGCCTAGCCATCCGGACCATTGACAAGGCTCACAAGCGTCGAAAGGGGGACAACTGCGACTCTGATGAGGGATAAACGAGCATGCAAACACCTGCATGGCGAGGGCGCGCGGCAAGGCGTTCACGGTCCCGCTCCTTGCTCATGCTCGTTGCTTTTTCACGTAGGTTCATCAGGTGCACACCCGTCGGTCTCCAGATTTGGCATCATGTAGTTAGGGTATGGTAATAGCAACAAGAAAAAAAAAAAAAAGGCTCTCGTGAATTTGGGTCATCAGACTCGTCACTGGACGCGTCTCTTCGTCATACAAAGCTATGAACACCTATCGCTCCTCCCCTCATCCCGGCCGAGCTGAACCTCCTGCATCTCCTACACCTTGCGGAGCCCACCTCCAACGTCTGACCGACGACCCAAAGCGGCAAGCTTCGAGAACATCTTCTCCTCGATCACTACCGATGCGTATCTCGCATGCCCTCGACGACACCGTATCGTTTGTCGAAGCTTGCACGTCCGCCCCACCTCGGCCAACCAGAACATGCTTGTATCTGTACATAAGCCCGCCCCCAACTGCAATACGCCTTGCGCAGAGAGGGTAAGCTTGCGTGCATTTCGTTTCAACGTGGGCGTTGCATGCTCCAGGATCATATCGGATTATTCAAATCTTAGCTGTAGCCCCCTTGTCATTTCCTGTGACCAGCCGCGATCCACAGCCTGCCTGCGAACGACGCCGTCAATATGCGGCCCCGAGACTGCTGGCTCTCCGTTCCTTGCTATTATTGTCCATCGATGCCGCCGCCGCCGTTGAGCCCTTCCTCCTGAGCCCGCCTGCCTTCAACCTCCGGACGGTTTGATAGGACCTATCTAGCTCGTTCTCAACCGCGCAACGGATACGAAGCGCCGCAACGGCGGGCCACACGCTCCGCTCCCCTCTCGATATCCAGTAGTCCAGTGTTTCCCTAGTCGGCGTCTCGAGCAGGCGCACAAAGTCGCCAGCGGTCACTTCTGGGACTAACGTCATGGACGCGCCTGGCACTTGTTCGTCGACGAGGAAGCGCCGGATGCCCGCTGGAAGGAGACGTAACGTGTCCAGCTGGCGCAGCCGGTGCCTGAGCTCTAGCCCAACCATACGAGCTAGGAATGCAGTAATTGACGTCGTGCTATTACGCGTCTCCATGAGGGATGGGCCATGCATATCGCTCTGTAAGAAGGGAATAAGGTAAGGCCGAGCCTGGCTGACGATGAAGTGATTTACGTTGAACAGCTCAGCGATTCTCAAAAGGGGCGACTCGCGGTCCGAATAAGATACGTGAGTCCAGTGGTGGAAGTCGATTGTGTTTGCGGGTGCCCATGGTACAATGTTGCCATGAGCATCTTTGCAAAGGACTGTGGTTTCCCGGTGACCATACAATGTTGCAGTGGAAGCGTTTGAGGCTACCGCAGCAGTCCAGATAAGCTTGTAGATGTCAGTACACTTCCGCTTCCCTCTGAAGAACTAACATAGTACTCACCACGTTCGGTGCTGTTAGGTAGTTGAGGAGCGTGGGAACACCGCCTTGATCGGCGGTTGCAACGGTGATATTCAACACTCTCTTGCTCCGATTGTACGCTTCCTCAAAAGTCAGGTCTCCCACGTTGGCTCGCACACAGTCCTCTAGTACTTTGACGTCGAGGAAGTAGCCTTCCCGAGTGAACCTCTTTAGCCTTCGCAAAAGAGTATTCCATCTCGTTGCGTAGGACTGCTCCTTTTGCGGGCCCTTTTCCGACTTGGATTTCCCAGAAAAAGCAGACAGGTCGATACCCTCTCCCTTGAGGACGTTGGGGAGCTCCTCTTCGGTGTGAATGGCCACCAATGCGGCAATGAGGGCGCCCGTTGCGGTTCCAGTGATGATTCGCGGCAGGAGACCTCGAAGAAATAACGCCTTCACGACACCAAGATGACACACTCCGAATATGGCACCGCCTTGCAGGACCAGCGTACTCCTACCGAAAGCCTGCCTTGTATCATGGATAAAATCCAGCTTCATCTGGTTTGTCAGTCCGACAGGTGCTCCATGAGGGTCAGACCCAGGCGTCGTTGGCAAGTGGGTGATGTCCTCGACCGCTTCAGCAATCTGCGTTATGTATTCCTCTATTAGATACTTGGTGCCGGCGAAGGACCGGTTGTAAAGCGTCGGGGCAGTGATGTTGCCCAAGTTGCGAATCAGGCCGGAACGAAGAAGATTGACCAGCTGGTTCAGGTTCCCATCTTCTCTCGCAGTGATGAGGGAGTTGAGGCGCTCGTTGATTAGGCGGTAATCGTAGTACTTGGACGTTGGGTTATTCCTCCTGTTGACGAAGCCTTTTAGCATGTGCTTGTGAGACACTAACACGATTTGGACGAGAGGTTTTCTCACCACAAGTCCAATCCAAGCAGGTTATCTAGATGCAGGGCCGCCTCTTCCCAGTCTTCGAAGGCTTCGGCATGGCGAAGTAGTTCGAGCCATAGTTCGACGGGGGTCTTGCGTGTGTACCAATCGCGGAGTTTCTGTTGATGGGCGCATTCGAGGTCAGCCGCAGCACATGTTAATCAAGCTAAAGGTATCCGTTGCGGACAAGCTCTTGTCAAACGAGCAGAGCAAATGCAACGGCTACCCTGGGGAGAACTATAAGACCATACGCACCCGTTGCCAGAATTGCGTCACATCTACGGCCACTTGCCAGAGCGCAACGACTACTCCCATGGTTGCGCGACGGCGACTGTGGTGGTGAAGACCATGGAGGATCCCAAGCTGGCGGGGGATGGCAATGCTGATGAGGATAGTGACGAGTAATATTGGGTGTTCATGGCAATTATGGCATTATGAGCGGGTGGAGTGAGGCGAGCGTCGTGTCTCTGATTAGGATGGTGCTTGCATTCCAGTTCCTAGGGAGAGGGCTGAACGGGCAAGACAAGTTGGGAGGATGGGTTGTATATCAAGCAGGAGGATAGATATACAAAGATAAAGAGGGAGCGAGGGAAAGACGGTGGGTTTGCGACGTCGAGACTGAGTGTTGTAGGTGAGCTTTCGCAGGTTCTGACGAGATTGATCGAAATCCAAGGACCGTAGTAGTACCTAGTGGTAGAAGAAGAAGAAGCGCGCGTGCGGTCGAACGAACGAGCGGGCGAGCGGATGGTGGACGCTAAGATGGAGAGGGAGAGGGATGCGAGAGTAAGGTAGAATCGTGTCTTCGAACGGGTCCTGCGGCTGCGGGAGAGAAGGGACGATGAGTTGACTCGAAGCCCGTGTGTTCGTTCTATGCTAAATTGGAGAAGGAAAGGTACTTGTTGACTCGACCCGAACCACCGTGCCGACGACAGACAGACAGCTGTGAGGTTTCGGTGCGGATAGGTAAGGTAGGTAGTTAGGCACGTAGGTCACAGGTGTCTGTGGTTTGGCTCGGCCCACGGCAATAAAAGGGTTACGGACATTGCCTTTATTATGTTTTGCGGCCTGCTGCATGGGGGCAAGCAAAGTAGCAGGCAGGGTCCGGATCTGCCGCCGAATTCCTAAAGCAGCTTCTATTTACAATGTTTCTCTTTTGATGCTGCCGGATGATCTGGGGCAGGCTGCAGCAGCTTCCTTCCCCTCATCCCCCCAGGATTATCCCCTCCACAGTGAGTGGTTGCTGTATTTGCTCAGTGTAACTGTGGGATAATGTCATGGTTCATGTTGACCACGAGACCCCAAAGGTACCCCACACACCTGCGCTGCCGCTGCTTCCCGAGCTGCTGCACATAAAGTTGGGGGTGGGCAGGCAAGCTCTGTTTCCTTGGCTATGTGTGCCGCCCGCCCCAGTGCCCCAATGCCTCATCCCTGGCGGAAAGCTTCGACATGTGATAATGGCTTGCAATTAGGTTGGCAGTGCAAGGGAGCTGGGCATGCTCCACGGCCCTTCACGTCATCCGCCCGAGGTACTCGTATTTCGGGTGAGCACCGAGAGATGTCTTCATTTTCGGAAAATTGTTTTTATATCAGAGCAGGTTGCAGGCTGTAGAGTCCGCTAAATCATTGAGCCACAGTAAGTGACGGATGTGCCGCTTGCGCAGCTCCCAACAAAGTCAAATTGGCTACCAACGGTCCGGTCTGAGAGCCATGACAAAGAGTTAGGTCAAACGCTGCACGTGTCGTGCCGCTTGTTCGCGCCAGTCTCAGTACGGCCAAAACTCGGAGGACAATTGTCACGGTGCAACTCTCATGTACCGATAAGGTTCATTCGGGATATCGAGACGCATTGAAAACGATCAACTTCCGCACGGCAAGTATGAATTTGGATGTAGTAATAATAGTCGCCGCCCTTGGCGCGCACCTCGCATAGGAGAAAATGCCGTGGTATAGTACAGCCTGTGATCCTCTCCGACCAGCCTGAATCTGCAGTCAAGCATGTTTTTTCGTCGTCGATAACCTCACTCCGAATCGTCGTCGTCGACAACGTGACGGCGCCTTCCTCTGCCACTTGGCTCCATGTTGTCATCATCATCTCCATCAGCGTCTTCGTCATCCGAAACCCGACGCTTCTTGGATCGTGGTGCCTCGTCGAGGAGCTCCTCATCGTCATCGTCATGTTCAACCTCGCTGACCTCGTCGTCACTAGCCACAATGAAGTCATCCTCCATGTCGTATTCGTCTCCTCTGCGGGCGCCAGAGGGCAGATCGTCGTCAGAGTCATACTCCGGACGTCTTCTCTTTTGCTTCGGCGCGCCAGGCATGCCTCTCTTGCGCGAACCAGCGCCACGTCGTCCGCCCTCAAGGTCGCCAATGGAGAGGCCTCCACTGCGACCGAATCCGCCGCGGGTAGCATCCATGCGTGCGGTCTGAGTCTCGCGACGTCTTTGCATCTTCATGCGCTCTTTCTCTGCCTGCTCCGCTTGCCTCTTGCGCAGCTCGGGATCTTGAATGGTGTTGATGATCATGTCCTTCTCCTGAGGCTTTTGCGATATCGACGCCATGCGCTCGGCGAGTGCAGCGAGCGCATCGTCCGCCACTTCCTTTCCGGGCCGTACAATGTATTGATCGGTGACATGCCCAACAAACATGAGGAAGTTGCTGGTCAACTCCGCCGCAGCAGCATAGTAGTGTCCATCCTGAAGCTCAGAGTATGGCTCGTTGGGTCCGGGTGCCAGTGCCTTGGTAGAGACTTCAAAATGTTCGTCTCCGACTGTCATAGTCACAGAACCGTCGCTCCATCTGTGAATCATGGTGTTGCTCTGCAGCTTGTTCCCTTGTCGTCGAACGCGGATGTCGGCCTTGGGTACGTCGGCTTTGGCGTTCTCAATATCGTGTTCGGTAGGTTCGAAAGTCTCGGGATCGTAGATCGTTGGAATGATCTTCATGAACTTGGGGACGCGTAGAGACCGTAACTGGTGGTTGTCAGGGCAGGTCAGGTGCATCAAACTTCCCATGACTTACTCTCTGGTCTTTCGACTTGGGAGTGCGATGACGTTGCATCTCAACGGCCTCGATGACCTTCGTCTCATAATCGGTCGGCAAAGGGGCCTCGTCATCTCTACCGTAGCCATCACCCTCATCACGGTCGGATGCGTCGTCGCGTACGCTACCGGCGCGACTTCTGTCTTCCTGAAGATCGTCTGCTGGCTCGTCGCCGAAGAGATCCTCCTCCTCCTCATCCTCGGGAAGCTCGTTCAATTCTTCGGAATCCGACATGATGGCGTTGGTTCGTGTGATGACGCGATGCAGCGTGTTTGGTATTGGACAATTGGTGGTCAATTGAGCGTGTATGGTTGACAGAGAGGTAGGCGACCTAGCTTCTTTCCTCTTGCGCGCGGAAGAAGATGCAGCGTGAGGCTTGAAAGATCCCTGTCCAAATTCTGACCCACCTGGAGGTCAGTTCAAGTCTGAGTGAGGCTGAAGCACCGCCACATGTGCTTGAAGCCACTTTGCACGTGTAAAACTGCCGAGCGGGGATTTCGGCACATGTCCCAGCTACAGTGGATCCTGTTCAGGGGACTCAGTGGAGGTAATTTGTAACATCTCCAACTCGTCTTGTTTCTCCTTATTATTGAGGAAATTACAGAGTACAAGTTGTGCAACTGCTTGCTCACCTCCCCAACCTCTTGTGCGCCACACGAGGCTGAGAAACGTCCCTTCCTACGCCTCTAGCGTGAGCCCAATGGCGATGGAGCGAGACCATTCGGACCCAATTGCTGTGGGGATATGGCCCGTGCACTCGCTTAATGTGACACTTCAAGTCTAGCGCTTCTTATGCCGCTACTCCTCGTGGATGCAGGAGCGAACGTAGTCTGAAGAAGCTCACCTTCAATCGCCCCTTTTCAGCTTAACCCTCTCTCCTTGCTCGATATCCGATCATTTTCGATTATCAAACGGACTGAACTCGAACCAGCAGAGCTGAAACTCGATAGTCCCAGCCTCTTAAGTCTTCCCAGGAGGTGCGCCGGTCGACCCAACTTTATAACCCCCTCCGATTCCCCCTCACCGCGGCACCTCCTCCTACCATGTCGAACCTCTTTTCAGGAATGTGAGTTGCCTTTCATTGTCTATTCTGTTCCTTTTCCATTTTACGAATTGCTTCTTCTGCTCCTCCCTAACCCCCACTGTTCTCTGCATGATGGAAAGACCGAGAACCCAGCGGGCGATCTACGGTGGCTGCACAGCAGACAGCTGTGAAGTTTGGTTCCCCGGCTAGTGCCGCGGCAGCCCGTACTTTGGTACATGCAACACGGCCCGGCCATCACCCGCCGAGACATGGGGTGCATTATCACACATGAAGGCATTGCCAAAACATCCGATAGCAAGAGGCGAACCAGCCATAGGGATTCAAGCCGCACAGTTGGGGAACTTCTGATGGCTACTTGTTCTTTTGATGAGGAGGGGCTATCGGATGACCTACCTCGGCTGTGTTTGACATTGCTGCCATGGCCAAATGCCAGGCTTGGGATCATCCGTCACAGCAGAAACATGAGAGGCATCAGCGGGGACTGAATGCTCAGGTTGCCTTTGGCCTCAGCACCGCCCTTTGCCAATCTTCCAGCTCAGCTGCAGAATGCGCCTTCAACTTCGAAAGGAAGAGAGAGACAGGTGGCAGCAAGGACCCAATCACACTCAGAACCGCCAACATCGAAACAGCAAACGCAGTACGGATGCAATGGAGACAAAGGAGGCCATAGCCATGAGATCTTGTCGACAACTGGAAAGTCATCATTTTCTGCCGACTTTGCTGTCGTACGAAGTCATTTGCCCAACAGTCAAGTGAGCTGAGCTGAGCTGGAAGCCGTTCAACATCCGGATGTTTTGCTTGAGGGGGGCTTAAAGGGATCTCGAAAAGGAAGAAAATCGACTGCTTCCTGGAGCAGGACGGAAGCCCCGCGTTACTTCATCGCCGCTACGACAAAGAAGTCACTGCAGGATGTATCGGGGTCCTTCACTACTCCACTATCCCCGGATTGTCGTCTTTCTAAGACTGGGTCTCACGCACATGTTCTATCTGCCATGGCCATTTCCATCGGCAACGGGCCCTCAAGGGCAGGACATCATTGTTGTCATTCAAGCGGGGCAATATGAGCCTACTTGCCAGGAACCACGACACTTCCAAAAGCAAAAACAAGCCTGAAGTCTTTTCCTTCCAAAAAAAAAAAAATCTCATCAAACACAAACACTCGCCAAACAACCACACTACCATAACATCTTCTCAGAACACCAGCTCTGCCTTGTGGCCTAGTTGGCACAGGTCTCAGACAGACATCCCTTCCATTACCAGAAGAAGCCCTCAGAAGTCCCCGATGCTGTGTCTCACTCAGCAAGAAACAACATGGCTGGTGCAAACCCTTATGGCCTGGTTCCCTCGGGTACCTGGTCTGGTGGTTGGCTTCATCATCCTGCTGGACATTTTCCTATGCTTTACAGTACTCCTATCAGTTGTGAGATACCATCGACTAATCAGACTCCGATGAATAGCAACGCCCGCTTCCGGGGCCAAGCCGCCAAACCGCCGGGCTCGAACAAGTCTCCAACGTCCTCAACCGCCGGTCAGCCTACGTCACCGACCGTTTCTCAGGGAAGCCAGTCATCCACCAACTTGGCTCCTAAAGTCCCGCCTCTGCCCAACTCTCCTTCGCTCGCCCACTCTATTGGCATGGACGACCAGGGTGGCTTGTCCGACGGCGACGGCCTTCTCGGCTCCTACCATCTGCCACGGCCTATGCCCATCTGGCTGAACTCCAATTATGGCAAGCATATCGTCAAGGGCAACTTTATGACTCTGAGTGCGAGACCTAAGACGGTTGAACAGGGCGAGTGGATTGCGCATCAAGGTACGTAGCCACTCTTGCTCCTACAACTCTGGTTACTGATTCCTCGCAGTGGTTGAGCACTACCGCAACCTCTGGAACTTCGTCCGTGTTCTCCACGAGAAGGAGGAAGATGGCTCGACGATTTGCAACGGCACTACATGTCCCAGGATGTCCGCCGGAGCGTAAGATTCGCCGACACTCCTTCCTGTCACAAGCTAATATTCTCAGGAACCACTCATTCACTTGGCTTAACAGCCGTCGGGAGCCTGTCGAGCTTCCTGCCGCCGAATACATGACTCTTATGCAGAGATGGATCTCAGGCAAGATTGACGACACCAACATCTTCCCGACCGACCCCTCGGGCGTCTCGTACGCGCACAACGCAAACATCACCGCCACGCCCCTCTCACAGCTCACAAACCCTGGTGAGCCCGACTGGATCGGCAAGCGATCAGGTTTCCCGCAGAATTTCATCGACGTCTGCCAAACCATCTTCCGCCAGATGTTCCGCGTCTACTCTCACCTCTACTGGGCTCACTTCACCGAGCCTTTCTACCACCTCAACCTCGAGAAGTCCCTTAACAGTTGCTTCAGTCACTTCATCCTGACCGCCACGGCTCTCGACATGCTCAAGCCTCATGAGCTCGAGCCCATGCAGCCGCTGATCGACCTATGGGCCGCCAACGGCACCTTCCCACCCGAGTCCAAGGCTTACGAGTATGCCAACCTCCGCGCTGGCGAGCGCCTGATGCAACTTGCCGGCGTTTGATAGACTTCTTTCGGAGACGAGCCAGGCACGGCAGCTAGAGGCACCGAACCTCCATAGGTGATGGCCGGCTTCACTGTGCCTTTCGGCTATTCCTGAGTTCTGGAAAGGTTGAGTCTTTTGGAACTTTTTGGACTCATCTGGTCAGGGGGTAGCCAACGCTCTTACCATCGGAATCTTTGCTCGTCAAGGCTGGAAAAGAAGCAAATGGGGCCTCCAGAGCCAAGCACGACAACAATAAGAAAACGCATTTTTCACACGTACGCACGCATTGCATTTGCAGCAGTCCCGGGGAGAAAAGAGAAAGAAACGGGCTGTATGTTGGAGTTTTCGGATTTGCTATGAGGCCGGGCAACCTTGAGACACCCCCGTAAGAGAGGCGGCCAAATCGTCTCACAGGGGAACGGCCATGGGGAGGGAAGAGGAATTATTCGTAGACGACGATTCCATAAACAAATCACACTTGACTTGACAGAAAGATGCTTGCCTGCTTTGCTCCATTGAGCCTGACTGACCGAGCGATGATTGGATGGCGAGCTACTTGATCTCGGATCGGACCTTCCGTAAAATTAACTAGACGTATTCGAAAGCATGACTGCAAATGGCTCATCCACATCACACTATTGACTCCTTGAGCCTCCATAAAGCAGTGAGTCTGTGTCCATGAGTGTGTGGACCTCTCACATGTAAGTACCTGTACAGCCTCAGTGAGAGTTGTCCTTAGTATCGTAGGAATCTACTTCACGCCCCGACGAAGAGGCTTCTGGCTTGTCCGTCGGCATCCGCATGGATTTGCAGGATTACACATGAAGAATTTGTGTCCAGAGCATGCCTGCTGGCCACGAAGCGTCTTGTCATTAGACCTAAAGAATTTCTCAATCTCTTTAAATTTCATGCAAAGCAGCCGGGATATTGGTATGTCTACACCACCTTCAGGCCCCTTCCCCCCATGCTAGGACTCCAAAAGGCGGCTTACATTGGCATTACCTGCGGAATCCTCCACGACTTCCCCTTTACTCATGTTTGGAATGTCCTCTCAAGTAGAAGACCGGGAGCAAAGGCTAAGCCATAACTTGATGTTGAGTGGGCGGTAGACTACCGATTGGAGATGTAACTTTTGGAGATTGAACCTGTAGCCGGTTTAGTCTCCTCGGTCTGGTCCGTTCGAAAGACTGAACGATCCATGTACGTCTACTCACGGGCCTATCGTATGAGGCTCTTCGAAAATAGAAAGCCGAAGCAACTCGATGACGATATTGAAGTAGCCTAGCCTAGGGTGTCTGGTATCTTCTTCCATCGTGCTCGAGAGTCAAAGCTGAGAGAACTCACAAGCTTACATGTCCATCTCCTTCAATCCGATGTCTCTCCAGCAAGACTGAAGCTTACAGATAATCCTACTTTCTACATGGTAGTCGAGTCATTTTCGTGGGGCTTGACTCGTGAGACAATCAGACGTCTGTTTGTCAACTGTAGGGAGAGGGAAAAAAGGCGTGTGCGAAGGGACCGGACATGACGGAACCCAGAAATCACCACCAGACGACGAGACCGTTTCACAACGGCTCACCCGGCCATCTCACTACTAAGCAAGCCTCTTCTCCTCCAACAGCAGGATGTCTCGGAACGGAGAAGCGTTTGGTGGGAAACACTCTTGCCCCCATCGGATAAACATCCGGCAAAGAATGTGATGCCAGTTATTTTAGATGGCAAAGCTATCATCAAAGTTCAAACCGATGGTACAAGTCCACGACGGACCTGAGGTAGCCTTCTCGCCCAGTCTTCCATCTGTAAACCTCATTCAAAGACTTTGGGCTTCGACATTACTTCCTTTCTGGGCTTCGGAATAAGTTACAGTAGAACTGAAGAGGTAATTTGGAGGGTATTCGAGCTTTGCTATGAGAAGGATAGATATCCTGGCTTTGACACGATATTCACGCATATTGACGCTATCACAATGTAGATTCCATGAAACGTTTGATCTATTAGATTCAAATTTTTCTTTTTCTCAATGATTTAGTACTAGGCACAAAAGAGCCGGTACTAGTATCTATTCCCCCAAGATTATGCCGCCATATCTGCGCGAACTCGAATCAAAGCCCCAACTTGGCACATAGTTCAGCTTACTGAGAACATACCGGAAAGCCAACTACACTTTCTCTCTCGGTTCCGGATCCTGATCCTGCCAGATTGACGGTCCGCATCAACGAGTTGCTCCATGTCATATTTAGAGAGTTTATGTGATTGAAAAGTCTGAAGTTCGGACGACATATATATAGAAAGAGAATGCTCCGGACGTCTGATGTCTCTCCGCACACAGACGACGAGCTTACACAGACAGAATTCTATTAGACGGCATCCGAATACACAAACTCTCGAGAACGATGGGAACCTAGATGGCTTTGAAAAAGTCTGTTCACACATTAGCAAAGAGCATGCTCCAAAACTTTGGCAACATAATAGTACCGCAGCATGCCAACAATGGCACAATTCAGGCGATGACTCATATTCAGATTCCTTATATTCTATGAACAACCACGCATTTCTACAGATGAGTGTGAAACAGAGATTTCACTAGCTGTCAAGTTTTGCCATCAAGCTCAGAGCCTCTACCTTAAGCAGAGACAAAGACCACATAGTCCTCCCACACAGACCCCAGAATCTAAAAGTTATACACACCCATCTCAACCTCCAACAAGCTCCTCCATGATAGAATACCGGTAGAAAACCCCGACACAATGACACAAAACCTCGCCATGTGCTTCAACCCCCTTCCCCCAGGAAACCCCAAAATAATTAAAAATACCCAACACGGCACTTCAATCAACCGGAGGTCCAGCCAGACCAAAAACGCACAGAGCTTCTCTTCCTTTGCGCGCGCGCCGACCCGATACTGGCACCTGCTGGTGCTTCGAACCTTCTCCCGCTCCTTCTAGTTCACGTCAAGGAGGTGTTTCCAACGTCCACGGCCCCGACGGGAATTTCGTCATTGTTCAGGCAAAGTCTGGGATATACTGGGCTTACTAGCGTCCCCCCCTTCTGTTGATATTATGAACCCTTGCCCGTCAATGGGCGCCATTTGGAATCATCGATTTCTTGGTTTTCACATCCCGCGCGGTACTGATACTGCAAGTTGACAACACCAACATAGACGTGAGAGTAAGTACTGTGTATACGTTCTCAAACCTGCTCGATTTCCTTCTCCCAAGTTCGACAAAAAGAGTCATCGCGATACAGCTCAGCAATAGTATCCGCATCTACGTATTCACGGCTGTCACCGCCGCCGCCAAGCACCGAACTTCCGTATCCCTTTAATTTTAGAAGACCCCATCGACCGCCTCACCCGGTGGCCCGAGAGATAGGCAGAGAGATGCAAAGAGGGAACAAATCGTTGCCCGTAACTGTGCAAGAGTCTCAGTCGTATGACTGAACTAGTGGAGATTATCCCGTGTCTCTGCAGCTTAAGAGATATTACACAGTAAATCAAAGGGAACGACAGTCCGGAAACCTAGTTACCCGCGGCGTGCGGCGTGCGGCGCAAGCTTGCGTGTATGCAACAGGCATCCTGTAGCTCCGTTTCAGAATATCCGTCAAACGTACAGATGAGTGGCTCCCTACCAAGAGCCAGCGAAACTCCCCTCAAAGTACTGTGAAATGAACCAATTCTGTTTTTAGTCTCTGAATGTCCCAAATGTCAATCGCCTCCCACCCCCGGCTGCGGTACAAGCAAGGGGTCCGAATCCGGATATGCAGGAAGCGAAAAGGAGCGGGAAGGGGACGCTTCACCGCCAACCTGGGATGAAGGCGTCTGCCAGGCACGACTGGACGAAAAAAGTGGGACGAAAGAAGCAACCATGCCCAACCCTTCGGGCAGGGAGCGATGAGTCAACATCTCGAACTTCCGCAGAACCAACAGGAGCTTCGGGGCTGGAGGGGACGAGGAAGACGATGGAAGTGGCTGGGTAAAGTCAACCGAGCTGAGAGTTTGTTCCAACTCTACTCCTGGGTTGGCTCTTTGTCGCTCATCTGGACCTGAACCCTAAGACGAGATCCCAGTTCCCTGTATCGCGCACACAAGCAAGCAAGCAGACCAGTACGCAAGGTTGGGGAAACCTGGGTTTTGCTTAGTGATGGACAGTAGGCAAAAGTTCGGTGACGGAGTCTTGCAACCGACTCTGCAACAGACAGACGGAGAGTCTTGACGATCGTATATACTGAAGGAGGGTCCGAGGTGCCAGTGAACGGTTCGGCCTGTCGCAGCACAGGATCTTGATCGCTTGGATCCGTTTGGGGGCCACCTCGATAACGCATGCGCTGCGGGTTTCTGCGATGCGCCATAAACTTTCCGCTTGCGTGTGGAGGTTAGTTGAGAAGTGACAGAGTGAGGTGGTTGAAGGAGTGCGATAGACATTGCTGCTGCAGCCTGCGGGACCCTTTCTTCAAGAACATCGTGACAACTGATAGGATGACCTTCTGATTGCGTCTGGCGCCCAGAGCGCAGAGTTTTCATTTCCAAAGAGTCATTGCTCTGGAGACGAAGTTTTTGCTTCTGAAGATTTCCATATACAAAGCGGGATGATAGCCGTACGTGGGATGGTGGCCTGCACGGCCTCTGTTCACCGCCATGGAGGCGTCCCGAATTTGTGGACGGGGAGAGATTCCGGCAGCTCTCTCGAATCCACCAGTCTCAAGTCACTTGTTTGCAACACGGCGGGAACCCTGGGCGTGTGCATGAAAGGGAATCTGGAACCGAATGATCCAAGCTCCGGAGGTTCAAATGCCAGGATGCAGCTCTATCAAAGCTTATGGTATAGGGCAGTACCGTGCGCATCAACTTTGGTGATTTTTCTTCTGGCGCAGAACGAAAGAAACAGCGAGGACGAAAGACAGCCGATGGCCCAGGGTTCTGGAATGACGTCGGGAGAGTGAAACGGAAGCTGTGGATCGCGGCATCGCATCATGGCAAGCGACGGGGGTCGGATCCGTCGCTTAATGCTCAATCTCCGACTTTGAAGCTGGAAGGGCAAGGGAGAAACTCTGACGGTAGCTCCGGAGTGGATCCCGGGGATGAGAAGCTTAAGCTGCCGGTTGGGGCTCACCGACAAAGAATAAAACTGGTGGCAGAGATGGATGTGTCTATGACTCAAATTGAAGAGATTTCGCGAGAAGGACGACCAGTCGTTCCATACTCTTCGATCATCGAAGGGGACGCGTAGGTTCTTGGTCATTAATTTGCTAGTCCGCGACACTGGCCGCTACGTTGAACTGGGAACCCATTGCTCTCAATGCGAAGTGAGACCGGGGATCCTCACCGGGATGCTAATTCGGAGAGGCAGTCTTGGATCTAAGCCAGAAATCCAGGGAACAGGGGTGCTCTGAAGCGTAAATGCCCCGCTGGGGTCAGCCCTGTCAGGAAACCGTCCC